TATATATGCCAAAGCTGGAATGGAGCAGAACAACAGGGTCCTGGCACTGAATTTGCAATATTAAATATTTCCATAAATTGAGATGCTCCTAAGTCACGTATAAAGATCCAGACGTATAAGAAATTTCCCCAACCCATGAAATCAGAGGTCTGCAAAAGAAAATTGAACACATTCAACAAGTTAACTGAACCTGTTCTCTGTAGGTCAAATCCTCCCCTTAACTGTGTAGGAGCAGACGGCCCTTTGAAGGAGAGTCTGTGTGGTTCTGATGTTCAAGTAGACAGCAGGATTTGGGAGAGGCAGGTTTTGTGCCCACACCTGCTCCACATGCAGCCCAGCATACCATGTGTGACTGAGCAAGGTGCATTTGGAGGTGGGGCTGTCCCACAAGGCATGGGAAGTTGAAGGACCACTGCTATGCAGATCCTTTGGTTCTGATCCATTAAATTTACCTTTCATGGTTATTAAAAGGGATTGCATGAAAATAGCAAATATTTAAACAAATCAGTTTAATTCTGGTCCATTTCATGGCCTCGCAATATTGCTTTTAATCAGCGGATTGTTTCTCAAAGAAACATGCAACTTTTTAAAATAGTGCATATTTTGATGTTAAAATTGATTGTAATATAATTTTGATAATCTCAAAAGTTTTTTCCCAGATTGGTCCTGTTTTCAAAGTAAGTAAAGATGACAGTATACTAAGCTGTTATTAGAGTGTTGTTGGACCTCTGGATTGTAGATATTAGTCACCCCGAGTTATCAGTTATGCTCTCTTTTCACTAGTCTTAGTACTGAGTGGTTGTCTTTCAGTTTGGTTGCTCACGAATCCTTAACCAGCCCCTGTCCCTGCTGGATGTCTTTCACCTCATGCTGCAGCCCATTCTGAAACCTGCTTATGTCTGAAACTAACTGCTTCACTGTGGTGTTCAGCAGCTCCTGCTGATGGCAGTTAATGTGGTTTTGAAGTCTCTCCAAGATTTTGGCCTCTTAATGTTACTGAAATTCAGTTATTTCCCAGAAAGCCTGTTGCATAGTCTGCAGTATGCTTATAGGGATTTAGTGTACAGGTGAGACGGGAGAGTGTTCTATTTAAAACATATACTTAGAGGCCAGGGCGTAACCTTTCGTCACAGTTACAGAAACCTGTTCCTCTAGTTAGCCTCTAGGGATGTGTCATCTATAATCTTTTGATTGCATTGTAAAAAGTGAATCAGTTAGGCCTTTATAACAAAGACGGAAATTAAAATGATAGATTTCTTAGGTGAAGTCCTGGCCCCATCGAAGTCAATGGGAGTCTTGCCTGAGAGGTGGAGAGTAGATACTATAAATTAACAGACTTTGGGGGAAATTTCTAAAATTCAAAGTAGCACTATGCAAACTTTGACTTGAACTACAAAAGTATTAATCAACATCAGTTAATATCTGGTATGTGTGACTATTTTAGATAGATAAATGCACTTAAATGCAGTCACCTCTGGGGAGAAACAGAAACCCTAACTGTTCCGCAACTCTACATAAAACGTAGTTCAGCAAAACAAGTTACCAAACACAAGTTTGTTAGTTCACTTTTTCATATATTCAGTTCATTTCCCATAGCTCTGTGAAGTCAAATTGACTGCTACAGTCTAGTCTCAGAAATGCAGGTGAAGTCATAAGTAGAGCTTGTAACTAGTCAGTTGAATGGGCAGTGTGGGAGATAGATTATGACACAGACGTTAGTAAGATGGAACTTCATATTGTTTTTAAATTTATAGATGAGTTTAGTATATGGTACTTCATCTGTGTATCCAGGGACACATCCCACTAGGGACATTCACAAGACGTGATTAATTTTTTTCATCCACACTCCAGGCTGACAAACTACACACAGAAGTTCAGCACAGGATAATTCACAATATCAGCACATATAACATTAGCTTTCATAAAGTTTGCCTCTCTCCCTAAACTTCCGTTGTTTACCTGGAACAGTGCTTTTCAACATTTGCAGCTAACCCTCTTCTATCCAACACCCCTAACTCTAGGTTCTTGGCAACTGATGGCTCTACTGATCAAACTTCCATCATTTCACCCAAAATAAATCCCAGGCTCCCCTCAAGACTCTTCCTTTAGCTAATACATTTACAGGGCCCAGCAGCTGAGTTATATTTATTACTCCTAGGGGCAATTCTGTGCCACTGCACAATGTAGAATTCACACAGAGTTAATGTTCTGTGCAGAATTTCATTTCCCCTTGCAGAATTGGTGATGCAGAACTGCTGGTCACCACTAGGGGCTGCTGGACACAGCAGAGCCTAGCTCTACAGCAGCTGAGCTATTTTTATGCAGGATCTTTGTGCCTCCAAATTCAAATGTCCCTCTCTTTAGGGACATGATATCCAGGTAATTCAATATCACCTCATGTCCAATGAGAAAATGGAGGGAGAGTTATGGTACATCCCTAAGGATTATAGAACATTTTCTTGGCTGGACAATATACTGGTACTGGGTCTAAGGTTTTCCCAGGTTCTCAAATAGTGTTGTTATTCAGGACAACTAAAAACCTTAATTGCACCCAAAACTTTACCCTTAGTTTGCAGTTTTGTATCTGTTTAACACCATCTAGACAGTTCCATCACTCCTGTAATGCTTATAGCATACACTATTCCATAATTAACAAAAGAAGTTAAAAACACCATGGGAAATACACTTTTGTGGTTTGGTTCTTGTGGAAGTTTTGCAATAGTGGTATATTAGTGAATGGGCCAATATTGTTGTGCCAAGTTTAATTCATTTAAAAGGTTGATATTTAATTTATATATACAGAAATCTTTCCAGATTCATAAGTTAAATATTACAAGGGCACCGTTAGAATTTCATTTTAGATATGAAGGTGAATGCACTAATCTCCATGCTCAAGTGGGAAAGCCTAAAAATTTTCCTATCTATTTAAAAAGGAGCCTGATGTAAAAAGCTGTGCTATGTTAGGGCCCAATCTACTCCCATTAAAATTAACTTCCACTGGAGCAGAACTGGTCCCTTACTGTGCAGCTACTAATCATGAAATGATGCCTTGAGGGTACTGCCTGGATTCTGCTTTGCCAACAGCTTTTGGAAGTGGATTTGATAGATTGCAAGGGGACTCCCTTAGATAGTCTTCATCTTGGAGGGGACATATACATAGTCATTGCATTTAAAATATAGAATTAGCTGCAGGTGGTCCAACTCCACTAGCTTTCAAAAAGGAAGAAGCACGTTGATTAGAATTGTTATAATGAAGTAGCATTAATACACTTTCTGTGCAAGTCTTGACCTCATGCTTTTATGACTGTAATTTTAATATTAAACTATTTGTTTACTAATTGTGCTGCTTTCCCATGTGTTAGATGGAGAAGAAGATGGAGGTTATGAGGATGGGGCTGATGGTACAGTTGGTGGCATTGCACCAGCAGTTCCAAGTGACGCAAAGGAAGCCCAGCTTGCTCGGCGCATCACTAAAGGAAAGAAAACACGGAGAATCCTTTCTAACAAACCCCAAGACTTCCAGGTAGCTGAGTTTTAAATACTGTACTTTTCCTGCACAACCTGAGATAATCTGAATATCAGATACAAGACAAGCTAATGCATTGTAAAAGGATACAGATTAGCATAACAGAATTGACAGCAAGCCCGTCTTTCAAGTGTGTTTTTTTCCCCCAAGCACATCTGTTAAAGCGCAAATATTCACAAAATAAAATCTAGGACAGGGGTCAGCAACCTTTCAGAAGTGGTGTGCCAAATCTTCATTTATTCACTCTAATTTAAGGTTTCGCATGCCAGTAATACATTTTAACATTTTTAGACGGTCTCTTTCTCTAAGTCTATAATATATAACTAAACTATTGTTGTATGTAAAGTAAATAAGGTTTTTAAAATGTTTAAGAAGCTTCATTTAAAATTAAATTAAAATGCAGAGCCCCCCGGACCGGTGCCCAGGACCCGAGCAGTGTGAGTGCCACTGAAAATCAGGTTGCGTGCCGCCTTCGGCACATGTGCCATAGGTTGCCTACCCCGATCTAGGAGTTTTGCACAGCTCTTGCTGAAATGTAGGGAGAAACTTACCTGTTGTGTAACTATTGAGTTTAAATTAGAACAATAAAGATTTCAAACATAATTATGATAAGAGCAAGTCCAAAACTGAAGATGCTATCTGAGAAAGTTGTGTCCCAGAGTTCTCTGGAGAATATTTTGTAAAATTAAGGTACAGGACTAGCGAGGATGTAAAACGAGTGTTGTAATTATTGTAGTTGGAAGGTCTGAAATGGCTAGCCAGTCTAAATCTGCTAGCTGCTTTGGTGTTAACTTATTTTGGTGGGATAACGGAAAAGAGAAATACTGTTTGTTTCAGCATGATCACAGACAGACAGACACGCACTGTAAGGTATCAGCTACTGCATGCCTTGTGTATTTAATTTTTTCAGATTCGTGTTAGGGTCATTGAAGGTCGTCAGTTGTCCGGAAATAACATAAAACCAGTAGCCAAAGTTCATGTTTGTGGGCAGACACACCGAACAAGAATCAAAAGAGGAAACAATCCATATTTTGATGAGGTGAGTATTTAGAAAATACACATTTAATTATATCTGAAAATCAGTTAGCTGGCATTGTCAAATCAACAAAAATCTGTTATTCCAGAAGGGATAGAGGGATCCGGTTCATAATGAAGCATCCCCAATCTGCTTAACAAATAAGCATTTTCTAACATTTTTAAGGTAATTCTGGCTAATGTATAAAGTTAATTTAAAAAAAAAACCATTTCTTCACATCATAAAACTCATGCCATAATTGACACCATTTCTGGCAAGAATCAGGGGCCCAAACAACCTCCCATTAAAGTGGATAGAAGCCATCCTTTGATACAGCTGATCATGTGAGATAACGATGACCTGGGTAGCCCAATCACATGAATGGTTCTGTTCTTTTCTCTTAGGGAGAAAAGACAAAGTGTGGTGTTGAGCAGTTGTTCATCTCTTGAGCTGGTTCTATTCAGTCACCCTTCCTGCTCAATGTGTATGTGAGGTTTTGCAGGAGATTGAGACAGTTTGGACTGTGATACAACTGTATAGGGATAAGGTGCAGGTCTCTGTCTCTTCTTTAGTCAAACATAGGTGATATGGTCTCTTTGCCTGGGCTTGGATGAGAGTGAGTTGGGAGAGGCATAGCTCAGAATATCTGGAAAGTAATTCAAGCCATGGATGCAGGAGAGAATCTGTCCCACAGACTTTATATTGGGGAAAGGTTGAATGTAGGGCTGAGTATATGGAAGTATTTAGCATATGGAATCCACATAATTAGTATTAATGACACAAGTGGCATTCATTTTTGTTACTACATTATAAGAGAATAGGGGCTAAACTCTGGCATCTTGCACTACTCCAATGTCACAAAGGAGCCAAGTAGATGGATTAACTAACCAGCTGAAAATTCTTCCAGCATGGCGGAATCCCCAGCTTCTTGTTCTACACCACACCTACCCCACTGCAGCCCCCAGCATAGGTGATACAGCAGCAGCGCATAGAGTGTATCTGGAGTACTGGTGCATTCCATCCATCCCTGCCTGATCTATTGGCCACTTGTGAGCCACTACCAGGCAGTGCAAATGGCACTGGGGTTTAAACCAACCCCTGGCCAGCCTCAGCATCAATAAGCAGGCTACAGGTGGAGTACAGTCACTGCTTTGCATCCTCCCCCGCCACTTGGGTAATATGCTGAGCAGAGCTTGGTTGTGCCTGCAGGTCAAGCCTGGTGCTTTTTGCTTAAGCATATTTTATAAATAAATAAATACAAATACTTCACAAAATCTGGGCTACCAAAATCAGTTTTATTTCCGTGCAAATAACCATGAAATTCTTAGTGCATGAATCATCCTATTTGGAACTAACTGGCATCCTTGTTGATAATTGCAGCAGAGAGGCTAAAGATTGATTGAACATGCAGACTGAACCACTCCATCAGCTCTAAAAGAGGTTCCTCCAGGGCAAGGTTAAGGCACATTAGCTGGGCAATGCCGGGGAAACTTGCAGTGCAACTGCCCGTGCTACCCCTATTCTGTGGATAAACAGTGGATTTCACTTTTCAGGGCAGTGCTAAATTCACATGCAGAACATCCAAACAGGAAGCAGACTAAATATATATCAACAGATATATGCCTGGCAAGGTACTTAAATACTGTATGTAGCTGCAAATCATGATGTTAACGTTCTAAATCAGTTTGTTTCATCTTAACAGATATTCTTCTACAATGTCCACATGACCCCTTTAGAGCTGCTTGATGAAACAATAAGCATTCGGGTAAGGAAAAAAGGCGTACATTAGAAAAACTCACTGGATGCACATGACACTGTCCAACCGGTGCTGTATAAAGATTGGAAAGGGTTTCATTCCTTTTTTTTTCCCTTTTAGGTGTATGATTCTTATTCTTTACGAGCAGACTCTCTGATGGGAGAATTTAAGGTGCGTATAAGCAGACTTCCACATTCTGCCTATGTGACCCACACACCTGGCTGTGGTGTTCTGTCCCATCTAGTGGCACCGAGACCACTTAGAGAGAGTGAATGAGTCTGCTCTTCAGCCTTAAGTAAAAGGCAGTTGGCTTTTAGCACATGCGGTAGAGGCTCATATGCACTAAGCTCCAGAAGTCCCTGGTTTGATCCTGCCCGCCGCCGACTGGTGTCTGTTGGCGTTACAAGTGGGAGCTTGCCCAAGATTTCAACTGGGAAATCTCTGAAGCTCAGGACACACTTCCTCAGCTAGGGGAAGTATGTAACCCACACACCTCCTGGGTGTGGTGGTCTGTCCCTTCTAGTGGTACCAAGACCACTTAGAGAGAGAGAATGAGTCTGCTCTACAGCCTTAGCTAACAGCGAGTTGGCTTTTAGCTCATGAGATAGAGGCTCATGCACTGAGGTCCCCGGTTCGATCCCACCTGCCAACGACCGGGGGTCTGTCAGCATTACACCTACACTTAGGGGCTCAAAGGAAGATTAGAGGAATATTTAAAGCATCAGTTTTAAATGTATTACTAGATACTGTGTTTGAAAAGGGACAAAATCTTACCCTTTTAATGTTTTGCTTTTAATGCTAGCAAGCATTTACTCTTACCAGTAGCGTTGGGACAGTCAGTCCCATCGTTTTGTTTGTTGACAATTGTCTGTGCCTGCTAGCACTGCAGAGCCAGCACAGTTAAGAGAACTAACTCAATAAGGTCAAGGGAGTTACTCCATATTGACACTGGTGTAACTAAATGCAAAATGCAAGTTAAGTTACCTGGTCTGTATAACAGATGTACCTTTCATGAACAACTAATATTTATAAAATTGTTTTCTACCTAAAGCAATAGGACTATCTTTCCCAGAGCTACTGGTAAGAATCTGTATAGTCCAAGAAAAGAAAAATGAATTTCAGTCTCCAAAGGGTATAACAACTGCTGTGGAAGGTCACTGTCAGTTGTACTGTATCACCTGGGTCTTGAAGGAGGAATTCAAAAAAACTGCCATTGGTTCAGAACATTGCATCATGAGATACAGAATCTCAAAATTACAGAGAAAGGTGTCCCTTTGTTTAAATATGCTTGTGTAGTAACAGAGAGGCAGGAGGAATCTCCTCAGTGAGTGTAAATTGTCTTCGCTCTCTTGAAATCAATGAAGCTATGACAATTTACACTTGCTGAGGATCTGCCCCAGGAAGTGGAGATGCATACCACAGGTGTTTGTACCCAAAACAATGTAGAAAAAATGTCAGTTATAATTCCTGTTGGTGAAAATCCACTCCAATAACTTCCACAAGGTCAATATTGGTAAGTATTTCACCCTTGCCAGTTGCATGCAGTAAATGCTAGTGGGGTAAATTAAATCAGCCTGCAGAACAGTTTAATTTATATATCTATGTGTATCCAGGTAGGTAACTTCTTGGAATATTTTATTTAGGTAGAAAGGAATGCTTTTCTAAATGAATGAATATCTCCTTCATCTAGTCCTGCTGAGGTTGCATTCCCTTTCCCCCACACAGCGGCACATTCTCCACCATCTTTCCAGAGCATCACTTAGCAGCATACTGTACATATCAATCCCCTTCTCTTCCCTCTGTTCCCTTCTAGCCCTCATAGGAGCATGCCACACAAGGCTTTTATTTTTCATAACAGAGAAACAATGTAATAACAGTATGAAAAACTGAAGGCAATTGGGGCTTAACCCCTTACATAATTTCTAATTATAAGGGTAGGTAAGCACTGGAATAGGTTACTAAGGAAGGTTGTGGAATCCCCTTCATTGGAGGTTTTAAAGAACAGGTTTGACAAAAAAACACCCCATCAGGGATGGTCTAGGTACACTTGGTCCTGCTTCAGCGGGGATGAACTAGATGGCCTCTTGAGGTCTCTCCCAGCCCTGCATTTCTAAGATTCTATGATTAAAGCCAAAGACACATATTTGTGACTGTATTCTGCTACTTCTTAGGATACAATATTTTAATCTTTATTTCAGATTGACATTGGCTTTGTTTATGATGAACCTGGTAAGTAACAATCTCCTCAAAGCCTGAGTTTCTTCTGCTTTTCCTTTGACTTGAGATGCCCAATTAAAATGGCTGTGACTTTCAGCTGTGTTTCTGAAGTAGAAAAACATGCCTAAACACACATGGACGCAAAGTTAGTTGAGAGAGATGCTTCAGCCCTGCAGCATCTTTATCAAAAAAAGGCCACATGCATTTAGCTCTTCAGTGGTTCCCAAATGCAATATAAGTAGCTTACATTTTTTTCACCCAGAGGATTTTAATTTTGGTATCATTAACTTAAAAACAAGAATTAAGTATGAAAAGTCATGCAAAAACATGATGAGAGAATGGTGTCCCTGAGTTAGTATACCACTCAACATTTTAACATTGTTGCACAGCTTGTTGGGGGCTGGGCTCTTTAAGATCAGAGGAATTTTTTTTTAATAATTATGTTTAGGGTAGATTCTACTTTGGGACAATTGGCCTTGATTGTACGGCTTACACTTCTACTTCTTGTGTAAGGGAGAAGGCTGATTTATTTATTTTGCTTTATTTCAGGCCATGCAGTCATGAGAAAATGGCTTCTTTTGAGTGACCCTGAAGACACAAATTCAGGAGCTAAAGGCTATCTGAAAGTCAGCATGTTTGTCCTGGGGGCAGGAGATGAGCCACCAGTAGGTTTAATTTGCAAATGTGTTTGTCTTCTAGTCATGTACCCAGAACCCTCTTTCTTATGCACTACTTGCTTTGTATTGGTTAATTCACTTTGTGAGCATCACCAGGAACTAAGGCCAAGATTTTCAAAATAACTAGTGATTCTTGAGTGCGTAACTCAAGGCACCTTAAAGGAGCCTGATGGCCTGAAAATCAGGCCCCTTTGAGGTGTCTCAGGTTCAGCACCCAACATATTAGTTACTTACTAGCCAGAAAGAGCTAAAAATATAGAACCTCCTTACAATATGTTTCTTTGCCTAACTACCTCTCACGCCACTACTCCCTTCAGTCCGAATACTGCCATACCAGCTTTCACAGTCCCCTGTTAAAGTCTCTCCCTGGTGCTTCCTTGCTCCCATTGCTGCCTTCCCTCCCAGTATCCTGGTGTATCTCCAGTAGTGGCTCCCACTACTACCTTCCCCTTCTCTGTCCTAGTGATTCTTGCAATCACAAGGGTGATTGTGAGAATTTGACAGTTTCCTGTTTGTTTTCAAAGGGGAAGTTGTAAATTCTCCCAAATTACTTCAGAGTTGTACATAGTTTCCAGCTGCAGTAACATGCTTTGTCAGGAGACCTTGTGATGGGTGTGAAAATTCCATACAGTCACCACTGCACATGAGTGCAAAAAAGCACCGGAATCCTATAAATATCACATCTTCATGGTTTATGCTCATTATTTTAAAAATAGCCATATGGCCTGCTTAGAAAAAAAAGATAGCGGTTGCTCCAATTTAATACTGATGAAGTTGAAACTGAAAATAACATATTTTAAGCAGAACAAATTTTTATGGTTTTATAATTTTATAAACCCTAGTTTGTAATGCAAGATTTTAACTTGTGGAGGGACTAAAGGATGCTGCTATGACCAATTACCATATTATTATACATGACTGTCTAGCATATGATGCCTTTCTTATATATAGCTTGGTAATATATACCAATATATCTCCAACAGATGGAAAAAAGAGAGCGGGATAATGAAAATGATGATGTGGAGAGTAATCTTTTACTGCCGGCTGGAATTGCACTTCGATGGGTCACTTTCCTTCTTAAAATCTACAGAGCCGAGGATATTCCCCAGAGTATATAGCTTCTTATTACTGGATTGTACAATACTGCAATCAATAACCTGTAGAAATATCTGTTAACTGATTTTAAAAAAAAATTCCCAGACATAAAACAAAATTAATGTAGATTACCACGTAGTTTGAGCCCATAATTCTGTGATGGTTTAAGCAGCCCATTTCTTTTTTGAATACTCAATCAAATCTATATAATTTTCGTAATGGGTAATGCAATGTTATCATCTCAGATTATCTGAAATTTTATTATAAATGGTGATGGTGTGTTGTTTGATCTACTAGTGTCCCTTTGTCCCTCAAACAGAGATTCAAGATGATAATTCAACTGAGTAGGAAGTCTGTATTTGAAATCCATCCTTTTATTCTATCTCTGTTGTTGTGTCTCTGTTTAATTGCTCTACACTTTCTCCAAACCACAAGTCAAAGCTTGTTGAGAAGAGTTCAAAACTCAACAGGTTAAACAAATTGTTCCTAAACAAAGTTATTAAAGCCCATCATTTTTTTCCAACTTATTCTAAATGCAAATGACACAAAATGAATACTATTAATAGATACTGGCTTCATCATCCAGAGAAGGGAAGCAGTATCTGTGTGCAATACACGAAGTATTGTGTGTCCCTGGAAATTCATTAAACCTTAGACATTTTTGGTAACAGAACATGGCTTTTATATTCAATTCTTTCTCTTTCACTGCACCCTTTTTATGTCTGGGATGACAAAGCAGGCCACCTTCAAGACCGCTGATCTACTGCTACTTGCTGGAGGGTATGAAAGGATTGCATAAACTCCTGTTTCCCCAGCTCTAGGCTAACATCAAAATTCACTGTGATCTTCTCAGGGCCAAAATTTTAGAAGTTGCTTCTAAATCTCAATTATTTTTTCATTTCTAGCAGCAAATATTTATTTTTGAAAACTGAATACATAGGGCAAGATTCTGACCTTAATTATGTCTATGCAACTGCATTGACTTAAGTAAGATTGCTAAGAAGTTACTGAGACCGAATTAGGCCCATAATCTTCAAGAAAAGGGTTAAAGTTAATTTTTGCTTATAATTTCTCCTCAGTGGATGATGCTTTTGCGCAGACTGTTAAGGAAATATTTGGAGGTGATGGAGACAAGAAAAACCTAGTAGATCCATTTGTGGAAGTTTGTTTCGCTGGAAAAAAGGTATTTGTCTGAGTTAATATTTAAAGTCCTGCATACTAGTCATATGCTTGAAAGCTGTATTCACATGTCTAAATGTATCTTAAGATGATTGAACTTTAGGTCCACAGTGCATTGTCAACAAGAGAAAATGACTTTCAGCATATCTAGTTCAACACTTTGCAAAAACGGAAAGGAATAGGTGGAGCTAAAAATCTAGGAGCACACATGGAATATTAAAAATAAAGTTATGGGGAACTTCAGTTGATAGAAACTAAAGTTACTCATCTGCATAAGGGTTTACAGTACTGGGTCATAAAGCATATTCAATAGACTGAGGACATACCATAACATACCATAGAAAGGGTTTTTAAAGATGTGCTAATGACTCTAATTAAAAGAATGTATGACTAAGATGTAAGGGCTTGACCACTTCAGATTACCTGTTTATTGGGTTTTCCTGGTTGCTTTATATAACTGATTTCACAGTAAATCTAAGGGCATAGTTGTACGTCCCATGTACACTAGTTTGTCATAATGACTTGCTTTCATTACAAAAACAAACACCCACCCAAACATCAATTCCATGTTATTGTTAGCAGTCAGATCACTGTTGGTTTTAGGCACAGGTAGTATAGACAGTTGCATACAATGCCACGGCAATGGGGCCTCTAATAGGCATCAACAACAATGGGAATCTGGTTGCCAATACAACATGTAGACAAACCAAGCATGAATTCACCAGGACTGATCATCCCTTTTTGTTGATTTTCCTGCTGTCATTCAGTTATATCCGGGTGCCACTGTGGTAGCACCTTTGAGGAGTTGATGAGCTGTTTTTTCTGTAAATTAGAAGCCCCTAAGAACCATGGTTCAGACAACGGTGGAATAGTTTTGTCTCTTGCACTTAGGTTGCATAAGTAGATCAGATCAGCACAGGGTGACCAGATGTCCCGATTTCGGGGGCTTTTTCTTATATAGGCACCTATTACCCCCTGTCCCGATTTTTTACACTTGCTATCTGGTCACCCTACATCAGCAATAATTACAAACCTGAGGCTAATGCCTCAATAAAGCATGGAAAACTGAATATTCACCATTTGCCACTGTAGGAGCCTGTGATGGAATACCATTTGACCAGCCTGAATACAATTTATCCTAAATTGTGTCTGGTTCCATGCTTTTTTGTCTGCTTTTTGAGCTTGAGCTACTATAAAATCTGTTTCATTTGGGGTGGGTTTTTTTTGTTTTATTTTTTGTAGGTTTGCACAAGTATAATTGAGAAAAATGCTAATCCAGAATGGAATCAAGTTGTTAATCTTCAAATCAAGGTATGGTTTCCTCTTGCTTCTCTAAATATCCACAATCAATTATTTATTATTTTATTCAGAACATTATTTTTTTTAAATGTGAAAGATAAATAATGAATCATTTTATTTTCTCTACTTTTTTCTAGTTTCCCTCAATGTGTGAAAAAATAAGATTAACAGTTTTTGACTGGTGAGTTTTGACTCTTTTGTATAAAGTATTAAACAAAATAAAATTGTGTAGAGTGGAAAAAATCCTGTTTTTGTATAATTCACAGGGTTTTGGAACCATAAGCCCTGATTCTGTAAAGCACTTAAGCAAATGCTTAATTACCCTTCCTGAACAGTGATGCTTTCCTGCATTGGGGCCATAAATAGTATGGCATTGGCACACCATTGATTTCTGTGCATTGTACAATCAACATGCGAGTGGGTTAAATAATACTTATAGAATAACTTTCTAATAAATTATTTTACAATTCTTCCCCATTATTTGCCCAACTTGTAGAGATAGGCAAATAATTCACCAATATTTGCAAACATACATTAATTCCATAATACTCATAGACTCATAGACTCATAGACTTTAAGGTCAGAAGGGACCAATATGGTCATCTAGTCTGACCCCCCGCATGATGCAGGCCACAAAAGCTGACCCCCCCACTTTCCCTTAGCTCTGCTGTTGAAGTCTCCAGATCGTGATCTAATATGTTTATTTCCAAAATTTAAGTGACTATTTTTGTAATTATTTGCTTAACTCTAGTCAGCAATGTATATTATATTGATTAACATGACATTGGCTGATATTGAGTATATCAAGCCTGTGTACAATTTTTGGACAAGTGGGCCAAATATTAATATGCTCAAGTTACAGGTTTTATTATTCGTATTGTGGGCCTGATTGTGCCTGTTAGGCATAGTTCCAGGCTGGGGATGGAGCCACCCAACCCCCAGGGAGCAGAGCAGAATATCTCTTGGAGTTCCCAAGTTTACAGAGATTGCATATCTCTGGTTACTACACACCTTTATGGGTTGCAATTTACTTCCTCTAGCTGGACTGCCAGTTCTGAGACTGAAATTCTGCCTGACCCTTGAACTCTGCAATGCTGGGAGCAGCTTCTTATTCTCTCTCCTCCTACTACGCAGCTATGTAAGAGCCAGACGTGATCTGGTGTTTTGTTAATAAAACATGCCAGGTGGTCTAAACAGATACACTCTGTAAATACATTTAGCCATTTGTAACTTGCCTCTGTTTAGGATGACCGATGTTGCATTTAATTACAATCTTACATTTTATATAGGGATCGTCTTACAAAAAATGATGTAGTAGGAACAACGTATTTAAGTCTCTCCAAAATTGCTTCTTCTGGTGGAGAAGTAGAAGGTGAGTTATTCAGCTTATACAATTCAGCAAGTATTTTCTGTATATTTAAGAGAAATGGTGGGACAGCGTAGGGAAGTTTGCTTTGCTGGAGCTCCCTGTGTTATACCAGTTCTGTGGCTTAAAGAAGATCTTGTTTTCAGTGCTTTCAAATTGGCCACTTTCCAGAACAGTAACTTTACTTTTTGAAAAATCTTATGGTACTGAAGTATTAATAATTCACAAAATTTAAGACAGTATTCTGAATATACTAGATAATTCAAAACTCAGTTTTCTGGTACAGATAGAAAACTTTATTGAATATTTCAAACTCCATATAACTGTTAATACTTCTGTTGATCTAGTGTTGATCTATGTATATAATCCAGAGTGCTATAGGATATTTTTAGTGAATTCAGCATTTATGAAAGGGGTCAATTTAAAGTTCACTATTTCAGAACCAGTATAGAATGGGTAGCCATAGCAAATGTGACCTTGCCCACCACTTCTTTGCCACCGTGCCCAAACCTTGGTTTTGGAGAAACAGCCTGAAGTCAAGGGAGGATTAGCCAGTCTTCCTGATGAGACTGCCTATAAGATGCCAATAGTGATTTGAACACCAGTCTGGTAAGAACTGGTCCAAGACCACCTCTCATTTCCCATATGCCACTAAACAGTGGCACACAAATGGCAATGACTCTTGGTTACTACTCAGACCAGTGATCTAGAAGAGAGGGGTTCTATAGCTCATTGCCTGAGCCCACCTAAACCGCAAATCACTGGATTAATTCAGTAGTTTTCAATTAAATTATTTGTTTAAGTAGATCCAAGCATATGTCAAAGTTTTTCAGTCAGTTCAGTCAATTGCTTCTGCTACTTATTGAGAAAACTAAAAAGCCGAACTGATGATGACTGTAAGAAAACTCATCTAGGTAGGCAAAGTTTCCATCCTCCTGAGATATTTTCTCTATTAGGGCTTGTGTGATCTGTGAACTTATTGAAATATTGCAAGAAAAATATACTCCAACAACATTTTTCTTCCTATAGATGGTTAAGGAAAGACAAAATTGAGATTTCCTTCCTGTTTCTGTTATGCTATGTTTATAACTATTTCAGGGTAGTTTGTTTATTCCCATTAGGTACAATTATGTTGTAATTTATTTTATTAATAATTTCTTTATCTACACATAGCATGTTTCTAAACTAATGACTTGTGTGTGTGTACACACACACACACACACACACAATTTCATCTTCTTATAGTAGGATCCCATTTATAGGTGGGCCAACTCCTTGCCAAGCATTGTGTTGCTTTGCCAGAAATACATGCTTAATCTTTGTCATAAAAGTTTTACAGCATATTAACTGTCCCCATAGAAGAGTTCACAGTAAATCATGCTCGATATTTATAGAGCTGCCTAATATAACAAGTAAGGTGAGTTAGCCTGAAGGAAGCTGGTCCCAAATAATTTCCATCATTTGAATTCTGAATTAGTATTTTTCTCTGATATATATAATGAAACATCCTTATAGTTGTCTAAGAACAGCCCTGCTTGTCCATGAGTAAGCTACCAGGTAAGTACACTGGTTTGAGAACTATTCACGTGCATAAAGTTAAATGTGTGCCAATCTTTGCAGGATCAGGGCCTATGGAGATTGTTCAGCCTTTTCCTCTGTGACAAAGTTACTTAATTTCTTCTGTGTTTCTGATTTGAAATCTGGGTGCTTAGTTACTCAACATCTCTTCTGAAAATTGCTATTCCAGTGTCAGATCTTCAATATAAGATCCCAACTCTCCTCCCCTTGAAGTCAATGGCAACACTCCCACTGATTTCAAGGTGTGCAGAATTGGGTTCCAAGAGATCAACTGATTAGAACTAACGTAGTCTAATCATTCCAATAACTGAAAGTATCCTAACATGTTTTAATCTGTAGCATGATTGTTTCCTTAAGTGAAAAGCTTTACACAAAAAAATCAGTTTGTATGATTTTAGTTTTCAAGTTAGTAATTAAAAGTATTTAAATAAAAAATCTTATATGTGGCGCTCAGACAGAGGTGCTGGAACTCAGAGACACCAAAACTGTATTTTGATGATAGTCCTAGGCATGTCTTTCTCTGTTTAGAATTTATAAAACTAGGGAAATACCATACCCCATTTTATTCAAGCAGCAAAACTCCAGGCCACTCCAGAGTCACTTCAGCTTTGATTTAGTTTTTAAAGCAGATTGCACTTTGATATGTTTAATTTTTAAGCTCTATAATTTCTTCTCATGTAACCTGTTGTCTTTTCATAATATAGAATTTTCATCTTCGGGAACTGGGGCTTCATCATATGAAGGTTTATATCTTGGTCTTTAATTTGATTTTGCTGTCCAGTGCCCAATCTGAGCAATATTGTCTCAAAACAAAACCAAGCTATTTTATAAACATTTTAAAAAAAATTAAATAATATGTAAAGGATACAATGCTACATTTGGAGACTATTAAATATGACTTACTATTTAAATCAGTTTTGGCACTGGAATTGGTTTGAAAATATTTCTATTTGGCTGATGTGTGGCGCTGCATTTTAGAGCTGAGCCTGTAGTTGTTTCAGTTATTCTGCACTCTGACAAATGGCTTGCAGTTTTTCAGTTAGTAATGAAAAGCTCAGCTGTGTATGCTGCTGTAGAGCTCCCTGTAAATAATGAACTGCCTAAAAGATTTCACAGCTCTTTTGCTTATGCTTAACTGGGTGGATAAATAGATCTGAAAAATGAAACCTGACTTACTCTAACTATGAACAAATTGGTCTTTGCATTATAACCTAGAGTTGGTTTTGGAAATCATTAAGTTAAAAATTGCATTTATTTAATAGAAATAAATGCAGATTAAGTTTAAATGCAGTTGAAATGTAACTGAATGTTAATAAATTTATCCACCCAAATGCTTTGTTTTCTTATCTCAGATCCAAAAGTGCAGCATAGCTCACCAAACACGGCTTACTGAAAAATAGAATAATAGTGAATAAAAGCTGAAATCATTTTTATGAAGCATTTTCAAGCCTTTCTGATAATCAGCTCTTTAAACATACCATCTTTAAGTGAAACAACACTGATTTCTTTAGAAATGTGCTTCTGTTTAAATTTACCAGCAACAGCATACAGATTAATTCAACATAGAAATCTATTTTTAGAAAGAAGGGTTTTTTAGTATTATCCCTATGTTTGTTTCTAATATCAGAGGCAAGTGTTTCTGGATCATTTAGCAGTGGAAGACGACTTCAGTGGTATTAAGATGTAAGGCAGAAGAAACAGAAGAAAATTAAAACATTTAGGGTTGAAAGAAAAGTTTCTACTCCAGTTAAAATTGCTCACCAAAAGTCTGGACAATTCTTAGCCCTTGGCACAGAGTTGAATTTTACCTACACTAAAGTTTTATGCTCCTTACATTCAATTCTAAAATATCCCGCATCCACAATTTTAACCAAAATTATAGTTGTAGAATCATTCACTTTAGGAAACCAGGTTGCTTTGTTTCCCCAAATCTAGATGATTAGTTTGTTGAAGCAAACTCATTTTAGCATGATATAGAATATATATAACTAAGGCCCTACTTGAATTGCAGGATGATTGTCAAAAAATTGCAGCTGAGTTGCAGGCAAGCCATGGAAAATTGCAGAAAAGTAATAATGGACCTTATTATTTCCGGTAACAAGAGTCCATTATTACTTTTCCGTGATTTTCCGCTGTCAGGGGCCTGGGGCTGAGAGCAGAGGCTCCCGCTGTTGGCCTCCTGAGGCTGAGAGCAAGGGCTCCCACTGTCAGGGGCCCGGGGCAGAGAGCAGGGGCTCGGGGCTCCCGCTGTCAAAATTGTGGTGAAAACCTAATATTGCAGAATCTGCAATTTCCACAATATTGCAAGTTAAGTAGGGCCTTATATATAAGCAATATACAAATCTCTACAGAACCTTGCATTTACCGTTAATCTTTCCCAACAACATTATCCCTGTACATCTGCAATAATCAGGGAAAAGTCAATACTCAGATTAGATTATAGTAGTATTCCATCTTCAGGAAAGATGTAAATATGGGCCAAATTCTGTCTTCAGATATACCTGTGCAACCTCAATGAACTCTGAGGACTTTATATGTAAGAAGAGCTGGGGCACTTAATAATTACCTACAATAAAAGGTCATCAGGCCAGTTCCAGATGTTTTTTCCAATAGTAAAGTCATTACATTTCATACAAAGACCTATGACTGAATCTCTCTGTGGTCCAAACCCAACTAAGAAAAAAAACCCAGCTATATAACCTGAATGTAACATGAGCTGTCCAGATGAATATTAAAATGAAAAAGTATTTAGGAGTCCTGTGGCCCCATCCACTCTCTGTAGTTTAGACATGAAAGAATGTGAACCACTCAAAACTTTGACAAAATGGACAAAGTTTACTATCCTGGAAGCAGACAAAGCACAAGGCACAGAACCATTTACATTCTGCAAAGGTGACACAACTGCATTTGTTTTGCCAGTAAGAAACATCGGGACATTCATATTCCCTTTTACTATCCAGCTAGCTTTACATATTGCTCAGTAGTCAGTGACAGTCAGTGAAAGACTTGTAGGATTTAGCCCTTTATCTTCACATTCTTCTGTCTTTATCCTAATGGTAAAGCCATCATTTTGTGCTTCAGATTGCCCAAAGTAGTTTCTGAAAAAACTGATAGGTGTTTATGAAAGACCTGGAGCCTAACTCTGATCTCATTTACTGCAATATAGATGAGAAATACCTCCATTAAAAACAATGGAGATACACCAGGGTAAAGCTGAAGAGAGCTCAGAATCATGCCCCTGATCTCAAGCACCTTTCCAAATGTAGAGTATTTCTCTGCATGTATGGCTGACTTATTTCTAATTTTTTGATTTATTTATATTTTCACCTACCAATAACCTTAAGAGCACTTTTAGGGGATATATTCAAATGTTGCATAAAGGCACAATTTACTCCCTTAAATCCAGAGCTAGAGAACAAAAGCCTGCTTCCCCTTACAACATGGGTGGGCAAACTTTTTGGCCCGAGGGCCACATCTGGGTATGGAAATTGTATGGTGGGACATGACTGCTCATGAAATTGGGGGTTGGGGTGGGGCCAGAAATGAGGAGTTCAGGGTGTGGGTGGGGGCTCCAGGCTGGGGCAGGGGTGTGGGTACGGGGGTGAGGGTTCTGGCTGGGGGTGCGGGCTCTAAGATGAAGGAGGGTGGGACCGAGGGGTTTGGAGGGCGGGAGTGGGATCAGGACTGGGGCAAGGGGTTGGGGCGTGGGAGGGCATGAGGGGTGCAGGCTCTGGGCGGCGCTTACCTCAAGCAGCTTCCAGAAGCAGCAGCAGCATGTCCCTCCTCCGGCTCCTACGCGGAGGCACGGACAGGCGGCTCTGCGCACTGCCCCATCCGCAGGTGCCGCCCCTGCAGCTCCCGTTGGCCCCGTTTGCTGGCCAATGGGAGCTGTGGGGGCGGCGCTTCGGCGGGGCCAGCGTGCAGAGCCCCCAGGCTGCCCATACTCATAGGAGCTGGAGAGGGGACGTGCCGCTGCTTTTGGGAGCCGCACAAAGCGGGGCAAGCCCCTAAGCCTGCACCCTGGCAGGAGCTCGAGTGCCGGATTAAAACGTCTGAAGGGCCGGATGCAGCCCCAGGGCCGTAGTTTGCCCAGCCCTGCCTTACAACCATTTCAGTTCATCAGTATCCTGTTCAGTTTAATAAACTCAAGCCTTATTATAATACATGCTGCAGTACATATGTACAAAACCAAATGGCAATAGCAATAATATGAATAATGCTTCTATCTACAAATGATTTTTATACCAAACATAAAATTACAAAAATTAGAGCAGAGCAGTACTCAAATTACAGCTGTAGTATTGATATAGGTAAGGGACTATAAGCATTAAATTAGAAACACCTTGTCTTGTCTTTGTAGTGTGATGATTTGAAATAGCACTGGTTTTAGCACACAAATTCTAAACCCAGACATTTTAAAAAAGGATTTAAATTATTTTGGCCATTTTAATTAAGAAAATGACAAATAAATGCTTATGGATTCATTTTTGCAATTAGCTCTAGAGTATATTTGGTATGTAAATTCTATTGAACTGTATTCAGAATTATCAAAAATAATCATAGCAAACAAATATTCATCTATGAAAAATAAGTGAATGTGTGGACATTCACTCTTGAATGAAATTTTAGGCCACTCAAAATGAAGTTTGTAATACACAGGCTGACAATCACTTCACTAAAGAGGCAGTAATGGGAGCGACTATACATCTAATTTTGAGTCTTATCCTGCATTCGTTTCTCAGGCAAAATTATTGAAATTAAGGCTCTCTGTTATGCTTAGGCATGGCAGAATTCAGCTTTTTATTTTTATAATTTTGATGGATAAAATTGATTATTTTAAGCATTTTTTTCTATTTTCATCCATTTAAATTTTCACAGTCATAAGAAATTATGTGGAGGGGATCAGATATCTATTTAATGACACATGTTCAAACAATTAAAGCTGTAGAAACAGTTAAAACACAAATTGCCAACATCACATTTCAAAATATACAAAGTAAATATCCTTAAGTCAACAGATCATACCTATTTTTACTGTTCATTTACTAGTCCATTTGTAACAAGCTTAATTCAAAAGTCTAAATTCTTGGATTTTGACTAGTGAGTTCTCAAGCAACTGTTTTCTGATTTTGCCTATCTGTATATTTTTATTATACATGGAAATACTTTTTCATTGGTTTGTATATGTAGGTGAAATCAACATTATTGACATTTACTAATACAAATCTAATACTGCCAAGCCTAGTTATGCTCCAATTTCAGTCAATGGGAGTTTCGTCATTGACTTCATTGGGAGCAGGATTGAGACCTAAGACTACAGCAGTTCTTTTAATTATTTTGGCATAATGGAAAATCTTTTTTAGATTAGTACCTCCAAATCTCATTTTTTTTCCTATTTTGCACAAAAAATACATACTACTCTACCTCCAGGTATGGTGAATAGGCTACTTAATAGTGTTATATACTGTGGTATACTTTAATAATTTTCATTCTACTAGTCCTTCTACTAACAGACCTGAGTCACTTCAGTAGCACACTAAAAACAGTAGGATTAACTAGGCATATTCTGTGATGCTGAACACTAACCTTCCAGCTACTGTGTACATCTTTATTGTTAGCTAGAACATAATCCTTGGTACATTTAAGTGAAAGCCAATGGTATCGAGTATTCAGTTTAATCTATTTGTGAAAATATCTTTTACATTAAAATTTGTACATTGTTTTAAAAATTTTTGGTCTTTCACATAAATGAAATTTTGTTGGTGGGAAATGTAGCATAAGGTCAATTTATTCTGTGGGTTTTTTATTGCATAAAGTATTAAAAATCTTACAGCCATGTAAACAACTAGGGACAGATATAGCTATGCAAATAGATACATTAAATTCATATTACTGGGATACACCCATAGAATAAAGTGTTCTTACTTTACTAACAACTAATATCTAACATTTATTTTACTGTATCTGAATTTAAAGTTCAATACCCCTGTGGTTCTAAAAGATGGTTAGTTAATTTCTAATGATGATGTTTGCCTATTAGTAAACACAGGGGAAACAGAGGTGGGCTTTTTACCAACATTTGGGCCCTGTTACCTAAACCTTTATGGAAGCCCAAGAGAATACACTGGATTCGCAGACCCCTATGATGAACTAAACTCTGGAAAGGTTAGTTTCTCTTTTATAATACAAACAGATCAAAACAACTGTTATTATCAATAATGTAAACTGAATTGGTTTTAATTATTAAGTTTAAGACAAATGTAAAGAAAGAACTTTTTATTTTTGTTTTTGCAAAATAACATACACTTAGCATGATGTCACTACTTAATAAATGGAACAGGAATATTTTTCTATTTGTGGAAGTTTCAATTGTATACACACTTTTGAATGAGCATTTGGGATTATATAGATTGAGGCCACTGGATTCCCACTCTAGTCCCATTGGCACAGGGGAATGAAATGGGACAGATCTCAGATGAGGGATTTTAAGGGGAGAGCAGCAATTTCATTATATATTGAACCTCTTCTCCCAGTCCAACAGAAGCCCCTCGTCCATAGGTATTTTGATATGGCTGTTCTCCATGGCAGTGTCCCATCCAATCCCACAGGGATGTTGTAGCAATAAGAGAAGGTTGAACCTACCAACGTCATTTTGAACTATCTCCCCTTCTGCATATTTGAACACTCACACAAAGGGGAGTGGAGCACTGGCTAAAGAGCATGAGTGAGACCTGATGATTAACCATACTGCCATGAGGAAAACATGCTGCGTTATATCAAAATTCGTGTTATATCGGGTCGCGTTATATCGGGGTAGAGGTGTATATATTTGCTTAATACCAATGGTTTTGGTGCTGTCCAGAATAAAACATACAAAAACATTGCATCTATAATTTACTGATAATTTACTGTTTCTTATTTCTTAAATATATATGTTCTTCATGTATAATAGAAATTAAAGTCCATGATTATTTTACATTTGTTCAATTATGTAAGTTTGTGTGAAATCCTGACCTCATTAAAGTCAATGGCAGTATTGCCATTAACTTCAAGGGAGCCAGCCTTTCAACTCCAATTTTGCTGGCCAACAGTTAGATATAGAATTTTGTGTGATTGTCTTACAGGAGGAAGGAGTTGCTTACAGAGGCAGAGTCCTAGTTGAACTATCTACAATACTTGACAGTAAACCTGCGAATAAAAAGATAGAGGCCATCTCCAGTGATGACGTACTGATTGTTGAGGTAATTCCTGGTGCACTTGTCAATATGTATGGATGCAAAACACTTGGTTTTACTCTTTTTGGAGAATTACATGACCTACTAAAATTGTAATAATGAAATCCTTTATTTAGTCGGGTCATTAATAATACAATCAGAAAACCTCCCCACAAAAATTACTGATTATATGGCTGCAAAAATTACTTTCTCTTCCTCCCAGCATAGAAATTGTGATTTAAGAAATCTTTACTATTTCAAATGTATTATTTTATTACACATTTCTATTTTTACCTCTGCTTATTTGGAGTGTGTGTGTGTGTGAGTGTGTGTGTGTGTGTGTGTGTGTGTTTCACAGAAATGTGTAAAAGTATTAAGATAGATGTTGTTTCCATGTAGATACTGCTACTTTTCTCTAATCCTCTACCATTATATACAGTTAATTAATTAAAACAAAAACTCTTGTAATACTGTACAGAAATATCAGCGCAGACGAAAGTTCAGCCTGTCTGCTGTGTTTCATTCTGCTACCATGCTGCAAGATATTGGTGAGGCTATCCAGTTTGAGGTTAGCATTGGTAATTATGGGAACAAGTTTGACACCACCTGTAAGCCTTTGGCATCAACAACTCAATACAGCCGTGTTGTATTTGATGGTAAGTATGCTACAGAAGTATGGCTATAAAGATACAGAATTCTCTTTTGGAAAACAAATCTGTTTATTGATCAAATTTTAGGATCACAACAACCTTTATTTGTTGAAAGCCTATTGAAGATATGACTGAAAGTAATATGTAAATTTGTATTTGCTCTTGATATCTTCTGATATATTGTAATTAGTTACACATGAAACCTGTCCAATATGGGGTTGATACATCCCATTGAAGTCAATAGGCCCTGGGCACCAATAAAAAAATTATGAACACAAGCACAAAAAAACTAGGGATATGAAAGAGGAAAATACTGTTTTGAACTTTCTGTGCTTTCTTCACAACTCTTGTTCAGTGCTTAGACAAGTGATTGGCATCTTAAAAGCAGATAGACTAGATTGATTAGTAACATATAAAATACTTTTAATTTTTACTTTAGTTATTGCACACTTTAAGTTGTTTTCATTTTTTTTATTTACTAGACAAAGCAAAGAATTTTGCTCTCACAAAATTATTTTAAAACATTTTTATTCTAAAGAAAAAAATATATAAAGCTACTTTCACAAGTGAATTACTGGAGAGAATATTGTAAAAATGTTATCAGATGATTTAAAAAAACACCTTATTGGCTTTCTAAATTATTCAAGTCAAATGCTTATTCTCCAGGAGACACTACTTTACCTGAAAAATATAAATCCATTAGATAAATGAGGGCAAGATTCTGCCACCTTCTCACTGAATAATACCTTCCTGTCTGAATAGGCCAACTGAAATCAATGGAACTAATCACAGAATAAGATACTACTCAACATAACTAAGGTTGACAGTTTCAAGTCCTTAGGAAGTATGTATTCATTCTCTCAAAAACAACTCTTAACACATTAATGTTTCACATCAGGTAACTACTATTATTACCTGCCATGGGTTAACAGAAAGCCAGTAGTGACAATAACTTCCTTTTGGGAGGACATAAGTCATAGACTAGACCCGGTGAACCTAATCCTAACCATGGCTGAAAGACTGGTAAGTGATTCAGGACTTTTTATTTTATTCTCATGTTTTACATCTAAATTATTTGTGTGAATTTAAGATTTAGGGATGGGATGGAAGAGCAAATTCTGGAACCGAATCTGGCACACATTTTGCTCTCCAGAACAGACATGCATTAATGCTGCAAAAGCAGAGTTAATTGTATGTCTGTATTCTGGGAAGTGACAACCATCCCCCCTGCAGTGTATTCTTGCCAGAAGGAGTAAACTATACAGGAGGGGATGCATAGGGCCATAGGAGGCATTTTAATTGGTACGTAGGTGCAATATTATGTACTGTTAAGCATATTGGGCCTAACCCTGCACTCCTTTCTCAGCAGTTTTGCAAGGAATGCAGGATCAGGGCTATTAAATATGAATTATGTCTGAACATCTTTCTTTGTGGTCTTTGGGTTTTTCTAGCAAAATAAATGTTGTTTTGTTGAATGTAGGACTGGAACTCACATTAAAACTAATAACAGAATGTAAGTTTATATATTCTGCGCCTTTTCTTTAAACACTCCAGCAATCCAACATAGCTGCCCTAAAGTCAGGAATACAGGCTAAAGTTTCTGAAAACCAGTTGGCAGAGATATGGCTGAAGCTGATTGACGAACTTATAGAAGATACAAGGTAAAAGTTATTGTATAACTCATCATTCAAAGCCCATGAAGATAAGAAGACAATGTGAAAATCACCTTAGAACCCATTTCTTTTGCCCTATCATTCCATTTTATATTAATAATCGACAATAATGAAACAGCACTTTAAAAAAAAAATCTGTTGACATGGTCATTCTTGAAATTGTGGATCTGTAGTGTCCTTTGTCCCCTCCACACATTCACACACACTCATAGTCTCACACTCTGAAAGTGTAAGTTGGCTTCTGTGGTGTTATACATTCAGCTGTTGTCTACTGGGGATGTTTTGTTGATATGGAATATCAGCATCTCCTTTATGGGCTCAGACAGTTTGTAAAAATGTAGTTGAAGGATTTTTTTTTTTTTTTTTTTTCTTTTTTTTAGGACAAAGTGCAAATCTCAGAGTAATACTGTCTAGTACCTGGTTGCTGGAACTCATCAGTTAGCTTTGTGGCTATCCATGTTTTGACATAACTTCAGAGACTGAGATTTTCAGAAGTGCCAGAAGTGTTTAAATCCCATTGAAAGATGATGGGATTTGGGTGCCTAACTCCGTTAAATTCCTTTGAAAATTCTAGCCTGGTCTTCTCTCCAAAGGGCTGAGTTTTAGGGGTGACATCACAGCAAAACAGTGTTTACTGTGAAGCGGCCCAGCAGAGCTGATGCTGAACAGATGGTTGGAACTCAGTTCAACCTGGTCAGACACTACGCCAGGCAGAGCCACCTGAGCCCTGATCAATGCACTCAGTCCAGAGGCCCAGCTGTTCAAGGCACCTATGCTTCCCACCATGAGAAGGAAGAAAGGTCTTCCACAGAGGCCCTTTTTCTTGGGCAGGAGGGAAAAGAATCTTCTCTAGCAGCCCCACTCATAGGGAGGGGGGAGAGGAGAACTCCCAGTTTCTCCTTGGAGGCCAGGGCACAAAAAAATCTGTTCAAAAGTTTCTGTGATGGGATGACTTTCCTGGGAGGGAATGAAAGTGAGTCAATATGTTGTGTGTGTTTAGACAGAGCAATAAGTGTCCGAGCTGGGTTGTTTGGAGGAGAATAAGTTCTAAACTTGGGAGAAGGGATTGGAGAAGAAAGGAGAGAGATATTAATGGGCAGTATGAGAGAGAAGAGAGACTGAACTGGAGGAGAGAGAGATTGAAAAATCATGGGTAAAGTTGATGAGAAAACAACACGAAAAAGAAAAAAGTGGAAAAGAGGGAAGAATTTTACACTAGAAAAATTGGAGAGAAAACATAAAAAGAGGGAGGAAGAGATTCACCAAGATATACAGGAAGTGGAGTGAAAAAAAATAAGGAAGGGAAGGGAAAGAGAGGAACCAACACAATGGAGTTATAGTACATTTTAGTAAGAAATCACTAATAGGAATTTTAATTCCTAAATAAAATTTAAATGACCTAGTAAAATGTTTAATAAGGGGCAGGACAGAATGGATGGCAGAAAGGGATTGGCATATTGAAATTCATTTAGGACAGCACACTGTCTATGACCAACCCTAGTCTCATGTCATTACAACCACATGAAAAGTGTGGGTATACCCGCTTTATATATATATTAAAAAATCTCTCTCTCTCACTTGTGCACACCCACATTCTCTTTCAAACAATTCCCATGGCTTTATTAAATGTATTATTAAACAATTTTATTGTGGTAACACCCGGGGGCGTCAAATAAGTTACTGCCCCATTGTGCTAGGCGCTGTACAAACATCTAGTAAGTGACAGTCACTAAAGAATTTACAATAAGCTTATGAATTGCATTAAGAAACATAATTCCATATATTGTATTTGTAAAAGAAGTTTCCTTGTCACATTATATTTTAAGTGACTAGAAATCTGCCACAAGCTTTAAGGCTCTTTATAAATCTGAAATCTGCAGCAGCTTTCAGGAGGTAGCTGGTGTAGCCTGAGTTCTATTATATTTAGGCCCAATCCCACAAATACCTATTACCAAGTATAGTACTTACATTCAAGGTAATGGGACTACTTACGATAATATGCAATACAGCCAGCATTAAGGCTTTGCAGGGTCGGAGCTTTTGTGCCCCTGGTTTCTGATTACATGGTTCAGACTCAGAGAGTAGTAAGTCTTTTCAATCTCACCAACAGCTCAGGAAAATGCTATGAAAAAGAGCTTCTTCTAATGCCATATTAAATGCACCTTAATGAACTGAGTAGCAAGGAGCTCCTGTAAAAGGAATACATTTGAAGACCTCAGAAAAGCTATCTATTGCTTTAACAAATCAGTGCAATCACTTTCTCCCCTGGGGTATGCTGCTGTACTATGGAATTTCCCAGTTATGTTCATTGCAACTGTGCACCCTGATGTCTCACCAATTTCTATGCAGTGGACTTTGGTGCAAATTTTCAAACTTGAGTGCCTGAAAGTTCGATAACTTCATAGTTAGATACTTAAATAAGTGGGTTACTTGTCAGAACTACCGAGCACTCAGAGCTTTCAGTCAATGAAAAGAGTCCAACTTTAGTTTGAAAATGTTGATTTCACTTTGAAATTCATTTCTAGACATGAATCTTCTACGTTAATTTGACATGTAGAAAATTTGAAAAGTGTAGCAAAAGAAATTACATCTATCTAAGGCTGTTTTATGGTAGTGCTTATTATAAGCCTAGGCCTGCACTCAGTGGTCTTAAACTCTGTAGTAAGCACTAGGCCCAATAGGAGTGTCTGCAGGACTGGACCCTATAACGTTATTCTGATGGATTTCTGTTATTTTTGTTGCCATGGGGAAATACTAGTGATGATACATAATATTATAAGGCTTAGTTAAATTTTTTTCTTTAAGTATGAGCACCTATGCTTCTCAAACATTTGTTTAATGAAATTAGATGCTAAGAGGGAAGATTTATATTATTAAAAGTTTTTGTTTCTCTTTTCAGTAAGCCATTTCCCCTCTTAGAAGCCAAATCCAATGTCACAGTCCTTGACACACACATACAAAATATGCGCCTCAAGTCTCTCAAACACATTATAGACGCAGCAACAAGGATGAGAACTGACGCTACCGATGTGAAGGCCACTTTGGCAGAAATTGAAGACTGGTTGGATAAATTAATGCAATTGACCGAAGAGGTCAGTACTTCAAAATATATATGATTCAGTTGGTTTAAAAAGACACAGTTTCTGCAAAATAACTACAATGCCTGCATATACACCAGATTCAAGCTTAAAAGAAACCTTCATCCATTCTTCTCCACGCAGTAATTTTAAAATTCAGAAGGTGAAAAATACTTCTTTCCAGGAATATGTTTAACATGTATTTTAATGTAAAATTTTTAATTGCAGTTGACTTCACTGAGAATTTTTCTTGGGTTAGGGTAGCAGGATAAGACCCAGAGACTTGGTTCTAATCTAGATAAAGGGGCAGCACTGTCTGCCTAATGAGCCTGTCTGGAGCTTTCTTAAAGGGGGAGAATATTTTACTTTCAGCCCAGAATTGCAAGTTTCCTTAGGGTTTGTGCATCCAGAATTTCTGTGGGCCAGCAGCTATAGAAGCCTATTTAAATTGGGTTTAGACCAGTTATTCTAATTTGTTTTAATCCCTTGGGTAACTTTAGACCGTAATAAATGCCTGTTTTCGCATGAGCTAGTCTGTTAATTTGTTTTCATATCATCTATAGCGATATTCATCTTCTCTTTGCCATTGCTAATTTTAAAAATCACTGGTAAAAAAACATGATAACCAGTTTGAGACTCACAATTAGCACACAGCCAACAGAAGTGTATAAGGGGCAGCACAGAGCTGGCAGGGTGTTTACTTAGATTCTGCTAAAGTTCTTGTTACATGATTTCATCTTTCAGGCCCTGATTTAGGAAAGCACCTAAGCATGTGCGTAAGTCCATCCTTATTCAGGAAAGCCTTTAAATGTGTACTTAAGTCCCATTGACTTTAGGCTCCATGCAGGCCAAGAATTCCTTAATAGTGGAGCAGCACAAAAGGGACATAATGAGCCAAAGGATCTAGCCTAGAATATTCATTATAAACCATTTGTGACTGAATATGTTCATAGAATACCTCCAGCTTCTTTATCAAATCTTTTTATAAGACTTATTTGTTTTTTTTCTAATTATCATCTCAGAACAGTATGACATTTAATTATTTGCAAAAGAAAATTTCCTCCCATATATTAGTATCATGAATCTGTATTTCTGTTTTGTCTTAAATAAATCCCTGAAAGATGCCTGATTTCTGTTTTTACTCTCCAAACACTGGATTAATTTGAAATTCTGCTTATTGCAAAATATAGTTTTGATTCTTTTTTTCTCTTTAAAAAAAAAGTCACAAAACAGTATACCTGATGTGATCATCTGGATGATCCGGGGAGAGAAGAGACTAGCTTATGCCCGCATTCCCGCACACCAGGTTTTGTATTCTACGACAAGTGCTGAGGCATCTGGTAAATACTGTGGAAAGACCCAGACCATCTTTCTAAAGGTACTGTGATAATTTCATTATGCCACTTTAAACACTACAGCTTGAATTTAAAAACGTGCTATTTTTGTTAACATCAGACGTTTTCCCTTAGCTAATTTTATGAAAAGTTAAATCCATGAAAGGCATGTGTACATCCATTAAGATGCATAGGGCCATATTGTATCCTCTGATCCGTAGCATAAGGGAAAGACATTTCTAGTGCAACTTGCTACAAAACGAGGCAGAAAAACTTGTGAGTGGGTGACAGCAGTCTAAGTAGCTAGCTGCTGGCAGAATATACAGTATGGCGCAGTCTGACAGTGGCACAGGAGAGGTGTAAGAATTCTGAAGTGGTGGAGTGATAAGACTCAAGGTGCAAGGTGTCAGCCACAAAGAGCCAAATTGCAGATGCTTTCCCCAAAACAGCACACAGAGTATGATGAGAAAGCCCATTGTAACAGAGAATCAGAATCAACTTCTGGTCCATGGCTCAGAACCTCATCCAAAAGCTCGGAAGTGTGATCCGGTTATTCAGCCAATGTGGGTGCTGATGCTGCTAGAAGGCATGTGGATGGATCTGTCGTGGCGAGAGACTCTTACTGGGTGGGATTTGAATAATTCAGAGAAGCTGCGGATAAATATTCAAACTTTTGGATGTTAATCTGATCCTAATACTTAAGGCTTGTCTACACAAGGAAATCTCCCCACATAGCTATACCAGTATAATTAGACTGCTTTAGTTATACTGGTATAACTCTCTGGGTGCACACCCTTATTCCAGAATTAGAGTGACATTTTCTGGTTAAGTTTGTCTCTTTGAAAGTCAATTAAACCAGAAAAAGGCACTCTTATTCCAGGATAAGAGTATCCACACAGAGAGTTATAGTTATACTGGTATATCAGTATAGTTATGCCAGGAAATTTCCAAGTGCAGACAATCTCTTACCTTAAAACTTCCAGTGTGTGTCCATCTGTGTACTGTGTATAGCCCTTGCCTCCTATTTGAGTGAAACATTCTTTTTGACCTCTGCATTTCAAGCCTCTTGTGACAAAGAAATACTAATACCAACACTGAACTATGAAGTTATAATTGTTCTCAGTACTGGGCAGAGGCAAACTCATTAGTGTGTGAGACTTTGGAAAGGAAACACAGGAAAGAAGTTAAGCAACAATCTTCCTATGTTTAGCTCTTACATGCCAGTAAGTCAAGCGTGGGGTTCTACTTTTAGGATGTTTTCTGGAAATATCTGTCAAGCAATAGGGGTTTTGCTGATAAAGACATTTTGAAGTAACCACTGAAGCAGGAAACTGCAGTGCAGGAGTATTCGGATAAGCCATGTATTATTTTCTATATGTCTGAGCTATTATGTACATTTATTCAGAACCTACATTTACTGTCTACTATGATAACAGAGGATAACAATTCTTTTTACATATTCCAGTACCCACAGGACAAGAACAAAGGTGCCAAAATTCCAGTGCAGTTGCGAGTTAACATTTGGCTTGGGTTGACTGCAGTTGAAAAGAAGTTTAATAGCTTTGCAGAAGGAACATTCAGTGTTTTTGCAGAAATGGTATGACTCCTAATGTTAAATATATTACTCTTACATGAAACTTTGTCACTTACTCTGGAATGTACTGAAATTCTGACATGAATTACTTGTGTCATTTTACACTCATTTTGCATAGATATAAATGACTAGATTAGGTTCAAAGTAGTGGAGAATCAAACCCAACATCTCTTCCAGATGATGTCTCTGACATACTCATAAAACTAGATTCTGATCTTGATTAGATAGGTGTAAATCTGGAGCAACTCCACTGACTTCAGTACAGTGATTCTAGATTTATATTGGAATAATTAAGATTAAAACCTGGCCCATAGCATGTTGCTATGTGAAGAACCTTTCTACTTTAATTGCTTGTTCATATCTGAGCAAAGAATAGATGAGCATAGGCTGTATTGGTTAATAATGGTTCCACACAAGCAGAAAGATTCACTGAAACAAACACTACAGAAAAATTGAGGCAAACCCAGCAAATTCCAATTACAAGAGACTATACCATAACATTGTAGTGTTAAGAGTTACCATGTGTAATGGGATGGTGAAAATTAGGTGGATAATATTTAAAATAGCCTTCTTGGTATGCTGTAATCGTACAGACCAAAATATCAGATGAATCTAGACTAATCCAAGAAACAATTTTATTCTTCTGTTAATGATAAGCTTCAGGCATCCTTTTCGTTCACTTCCTACTAATGGCTACAATGTGCTGAACCAGTAATGGACACCAACATCTATATAGTTGCTGATATGACATGATATGCTCATATGACATCACGACAGCAGCCTGTGTAGCCATCATCCCTACAGTTAGTTGAGTTGGCAGTACTCAGGCACCTGTAGTGAAAGTAATTTAAAAAAGAAATCATGGATTTTGACATTCACTTTCTAAAGTATAAAATACGAAACATTATGGGACAAAGTTTTTACTATTTGTACAGTAATCCAAAAATTTTCCAGGAATTTTACAGGAGGAAGGGGTTAAAAAGCCCCAAACCAAAACCAATCTGGGATCAGATTTTGATTCAACATACAGCAGTGTAAATCAAGAATAATTCCATTAAAGACAATGGAAGCATGAGCGTGTGAAACTAGTGTAAGATCAGAATCAGTCCTATCATGCCTGCCCTGATGAATTTATAATCCGATTTTACATGTGACTCATGGGTTCATGGAGAAGGACAAGGTTTACACTAACAAGATCATGCAGTGATTAATTTATGGTACCTGTTCTCATTATAATGGAAATATATTTACCAAAAAGTTAAAGCTGTCTCTTGTAGGCAGCATGGAAGCAGTAAGTTTGTAGATTTGAATGAAGAGAGGATGTAGGTTGGGAGGGGATTCAATGCAGACAGGGCAGCATTGAAGAGGCACTGAGATGAGGGTAGGAGGAAGAGATGAAGGGATCATTGAAGTTGTCAGTGGCAGAGTAGGGGTGAGGAGGAAATGTGGTAGGAGATGGAGACAGCAGATATAGAAGAGACAGCACCCCTACTTGTTTCTGTTTGGAGTATGAAACAGTAAGTAAATCCATTGGAGGGCCATATTTTCAAAGAGCCACCCTCAAGCATGAAAAGGATGCTGTTAGTTATATGAAAAGTTGTATTTGAGACAAACTTTTTAACATCATGTTCTGAAGCACCATCTTTAGCTTCTGCCAGTCACTAGTTCTGATATCATTATTCTAAGTGCCACTTTGGGAGGTTAGTAATGAATAATGACATGAAATAAAGTGGTACCCAGCTGTTTGAAGGAACAAATATTTTTGTCTGATTGACCTACTTGTCTGGATTTGAACATGGACAGGTTTGGTAAATCAGTGTGACCCATCTCTGTTTACATGGTGCACCATAAATGGTGTTTATAAGACTAGCTTACCCGTACTTTCTATCTGATAGCTTGGTCCTTTGATTTCAGATATGGGCCACATATAGTAGAATGTTTGAGTTGTAATGATTACATAAATATATGCTTATATTTTCCTAAGAGCTTTTCTTTTGACCCTAAAGTGCTCTTTTATTCTTCTCTCTCAAACAGTATGAAAATCAGGCTCTTATGTTTGGAAAGTGGGGCACCTCAGGACTAGTCGGTCGCCACAAGTTTTCTGATGTCACAGGAAAAATTAAATTGAAAAGAGAGTTCTTTTTGCCCCCAAAGGGCTGGGAGTGGGAAGGAGAATGGATGGTTGATCCTGAAAGAAGGTCAGATTTCTGATTCCTACACAATCAAACAGCAATAAGGGGTTTGCAGTGTTTCCTAGTTATTTTCAGAATGTACAGAATAAATTCATCTCTTGGGTTTAAGTGGGGTTGGGCAGGTTTTAAACAGAATTTTTGTAGAAGGAGAGTAAGTTAGCCAATCAGCAAAAGCTATTTAATAACAGTACAATCCGTGTTTACATCGTTAGAAGGAAGGATGAACCTTCTGCTGTGAACATGTAAAAAGGATTTTCAGTGATTAGGGGAACTAGCCTGGGACACTAAAGACCTTGGTGCCATTTTTCAATTCCCTGCTCTGCAATAGACTTGCTGTGTGACCATGGGCAAGTCACTTAAACTCTCTGTGCCTCTGTTCTCCATCTGTAACATGGAGGTACAACTGAGGTGTTGAGAGAACGCTAAGGATACACTGCAGACTGTGAGGGGCTCAGATTACTACAGCGATGCGGCCATATAAGTACCTAAAATAGATCAGGTGGCTGTCTGTTTAACAAAAACTTCTTCCGATTTCAGCTTACCGTGGAGTCCATTATAAACATCCAGTTCACATCATATCCACACAGTGTACAAATCATCATCTAGATGGGGAGATCATCCAATGGGGCTTTTAATTTTTATTTATTTATTTTGCTTTTTGAAGGGATGCAGCCTAATAACAGTGCATGTTCACATACATAGAGATAGAATGGATTAAACTGTAATAGTTACTAGTAGTGAAATTCTGGCCCAAAAATTCCCATTGATTTCAGTAGGACCAAGAATTTCACCTCTGTGTTTTCTTCTTGTGTTCTGGTATTGAGCATGCATAGGAGGACTGCCACTGCACAACAGGAAGAGACCGGCTGTTGAGTCCTTCTTAAAATTTAGCAATTAAATCTTCATGATTTTCAAGATTAATTTTTTCAATTGATGGTCTATGACATGCAGAAAAGCAATAAGTATACATTTAAGAACAGTTCAGCTGATAAAGAAGAAAAGCCTCTTGTAAAAATATGAAATAAATACAATTATAAATACAATGATCTCTTCCACTAGACAGAAAATAACCCACACAACTTTATTTGACCAGTAGATGGCATTACAAAACAGATTTCAGCTCTTTCTGAAATCGAATCTGCCAGGCAATTAAAACTGGAGAAATTTATTTTATCTGAAATAATTAGTAATGTTTTAATTATCATGTTTACAGTTTAAAAAATATATCAGTAAAATATTTGACTTTCTTTTTAAACTCAGTCACACCTAGGAGGAGGTGGAGAAAAGTCAAGGTAGTCCAAATTCACAGGACAGCTAACATTTTTTTTGAAAAATTGGGAAACTTGAGTACTGTAATGTGGATGAAAAAGTTTGATATTGGATGCATTTCAGCAACATTTTAATGAACAAATAAACTAGCTGCGACAAAAGAATCAGCTGGCAGCTCATTTAATTGCCTTTCCCCTCCTTAGCCTAAGTTAGCTTATGTGTAGTCATGTGTAGCTCGTAGGTAGTCTTCAGGGAAATGTTGATTTTTTTTTCATGTTATGACTGTCAGTCACTAAACTATAACAGTGATCCAGCACTATTGTACTATTGTATTTAGTGCAGTGTAAATGGACAAAATAGGCTTGAAAAATACCTGTGATTTACACGGAATAAGTGATCGAAAGACTTGAAGAAAAGGTGAAAGAAAACTCTGATGTGAGAATTGTTTATATTTTATATGTGTACATATGAAATATGTGTGTTCTCATCTGATATGCATTAGTATTTTATATATTTACATATATACACTTTTTGAGAGCGTTCAAAGCAGGACTAGATAGCAATCGTGGGAAATTCTAGGAAAAGCAGTCTTTATGTGGTCTATACTGCACACTATGGATAGTTGGAACTCCACAGTGACAGTGCAATAAAACTCCAAAAGCACAGGCCTCTACCACTGCGGCTGAAGAAAAATCTCCATTAGCTAATAGCAATAGGGCTTTTGGCACATAGACTCAGAATTACTCAGCCATCCATTGGAGGATGGTGATAATTTTTTGTATGCACGCACATGTGCACACACTCTACAGTAGTTCTATTCAGTAATTGTAGTTTAACGATTTGCTTTGCTAATATATTTGCTTCTGACTTCACAGTTTGCTGACTGAAGCTGATGCAGGTCATAGTGAGTTTACAGATGAAGTGTACCAAAATGAGAGTCGTTATCCTGGAGGAGAATGGAAAGCAGCTGAGGAGCCCTACACAGATGTGGTGAGATTCTTATAAATTAATACTTTTCATTTTTTAAAATTCTGGTTACAAGAGTTCTGCTTAGCTGTGAGCTATTTTGCTCCCCCCTTTTCCTAATTTTTCACTGCATGATGGGCTTTTGAAATGTCTAACATTTTATTTTGACTTTAGGAAAATGTGTCCTAAAACAAGTTAGTACAGAAGAATACAGTGATGTTTCACCAGCTATTTATTACAAAAATATTTGCTTCATCCTGAGTTGCAGCTGAGAGTGGGTGGTTTGAGCCCATCAAACCAACTTCCTATACAGCCTTACAATATGGTTATGCTACATGTGCATTTTTTACATAATAACCTTTTGGTTTTTTTCTACCTGAAAGAATGGAGAAAAAACTGCACCACCTGGTGAGATTACCTGTCCCCCTGGATGGATCTGGGAGGATGATGCTTGGATATATGATATAAATTGAGCGGTGGATGAGAAAGGTAAGATTAACTGTTTATAGTATACTTATTAGGACAAACTCTTCACAATCAGATAGAAGAATGTATTCCAAAACTTTCAACAGGTTATGTCTCACTACAATATTTTGAAATACAAGTAACCAAGAGCATGTTAGTAACTAGGTAGAGGAACATTAGTGATTTCTGGGAAGTTTTTATATTTCAAGGCAGATTTGGTTTTTGTGCATGGTAGAACTTAAAGAAGAGGCAAAATGTGGCTTTAAATAGAAACTCGGCTGCAACCTTAACTTATGGAGAATCTAGCTGTTGTTTCATAATTTTAAAAAAATGTTATGATTTAGGACCATAAAGTTTTGGATAGCTATGTAAGCACACAGTTATAAAACTGTTACCCTCATACTCCAGTTGTTTGTTACACTCATCTTATTGTTTTATATTAGATTGTAATTTGTTTGGGGCAGGAACCAGCTCTTTCTGGATGTTTGTACAGTGCTTATCCCAATGGGGTTCCCATCCTGATTGGGATCTCTGGTCAATTCCATAATGATGATGATGTAGGCTGGTGTTGAATGAAATAGTCTGCAGGTGCATGAGAGACTGAGGCTACGTCTTCACTACAGGGGGGGGTCGATTTAAGATACACAAATTAATTTGACGTATCGCAGCCGACTTACCCCGCTGTGAGGACGGCGGCAAAATCGACCTCCGCGGCTTCCCGTCGACGGCTCTTACTCCCACCTTCGCTGGTGGAGTAAGAGCGTCGATTCGGGGATCGATTGTCGCGTCCTGACGGGATGCGATAAATCGATCCCCGAGAGGTCGATTTCTACCCGCCGATTCAGGCGGGTAGTGTAGACCTAGCCTGAGCGTGTGTTATACTTATTTAAGCCAGTAGGACCACAGTCATACTCCCCTTTTCCACCTGGAATCACATGTGCATTTATTTTTAAGTTCTGGTGGTTTGCCTGAAAACTGGTGGTTCTTCATTTGTGTGTTCCTTTGGAGAATTCAGTGCAATAGGCTGAAGGGACAAAATGCCAGATCGCAGTCCAAAGGAATGATACTGCATTCTCTACTCAGGCAAAACTGCCATCAGCGTTAAAATATAAAGTAATGGTTGAATATTTCCACCTGGGAAATCTATGGGCTGAAATAACAGGGCGTCCGATTCTACCCTCAAGACTGACATACTAAGGAGACCCCTATGCACATTTCTCCTCTTCCTGTGCAGAAAAAGGACTCAGCTACCATTCCCCTGGATCCAACAGAGAGTGCATAGTGGGTCTAGGGATCTACACTGCAGGACCTACATCAACCCCATACTGGCCTTTGGGGGATTTCTCTGAAGAGGGTCAGACGACAATCTAGTCTAGGGCTCCCAGCAGTGAAGATGCATTAGTGGTAGCAATATGGGAAATTTTAATGAAGAATCTAGTGTAGACAAAGCCACATGCTTCAAGTAGTTCATTATTATCTATTTCATCTTAATGCCAATATTTACACTTGAGGGACCATGTCCCCAGCAAACTGGTACCAGTTACAAAAGGAATCCACAATTAAAAATGCCCACTACCTATATCTATTCCCATTTTTACCCTACTTTTACTCACCAGTCTATCATCAGTACAAAAAAACCACACTACATTATGCAGCATCCCATAGTAGGACATGAATTTGCCATGACATTATGCAAAGTACTAGTAACAAAAAAACCTGGCCTTCCTTGGATCACAGGCACCACCATTTTGCACAGTAGGTGAAGTTTCATAGGTTGTCTGCTGTGTATGTAATCGCATTTCATCAAGCAGAATCCAAGGTAGTGTACTTTTTTGTGTCTTGTTTAAGTTGTTAAGCACTCATTGTCACAAGATACCACTGAGGCCAAAAGCTTAGTAGGATTTAAAAAAGGACTGATATAGATAATGAGATACTTACATAGGCAATGAGAATATCCACAGTTATATTAAAAGGAAAATAAAGCCTCAATCTTCTGGGCATAACCCAACTCTGACTGAAAAGGGTTAGGAAGAAACTTACATCATGGGCTGGTTATAAAGCTGTCAATGATGGGGTTTCCTGTGCCTTTCTATGAAGCGCCTGGTACTGGCCACTGTCTGAGACAGGATACTAGATTAGATGGACCACTGGTCTTATGAACTTTAGAAATTCGCAAGCACAGTAAAGAGAGACTCTTTGTTACTAGAACTGCTCTTATTTCCACATGCTCATAATTAATCCAAATACAAGATGGACCCATTGATCCAGCAGCAAATGGTTCAAGAGGGTGTCGGTGCGGTGTAAACCATGTAACGAGATGATTGTTAGGATACTATAGGGATGTTTGGGGGAAATATTTGACTTCAAAGCCTGCCAGTAAACAAGGAATCTATGAAACATTTCTATAATAGTTCAAGAAACAAGGAACTTGGGAAAGTAGAAGGGACAGTTTTAAGAGAAGAGTATCTGAAGCCCAGAAGTCTGCAGTACTATTATGAATTTGGATGAATTCTAAAGAACCGAAGACTCTCGGATAGCTATTTTCTTTTTTTTAAAGTCCAGTGAAACAACTGGCTGTTTGGCATCATTGGAATCTAAGTTTTCTTACTCCTCTTATGTAGTTTTGCCATCTGTGCTAAGGTTAAGTCTCAGTGCATGAGGTCATAATACATTCCACAGCAGAAAGTCAGACTACATAAAAATCTGGACCCCAGAATTCTGGCTGTTGAATTCCAATTCTGTACAGTGGAAATAGAAAAAGCAGTGTTGCCAAATCTTGTGATTTTGTCATGTTTCTCACAATAATTGGTGAGTCTCTTAAAACCTGAGGTCATGTGATTATGTTTGAATTCCAGCTTCCATTTAAAATAAAAAGTAAGTTTCTAGCCCTCCCCATTGTAAAGAATGCAAATATGACCCCAATGCGCCCTATAGTCTCAAAATCCAGTAAGTAAATAAAAAGAACTCCAAATGTATTTTTAAAAAATAAAATCTCATGATTTTAAAGTCAAAATATTGATTTTTTTTGTGACATGACCCATGACTTTTAAATGTTTAGGGTTGGCAATACTAAAATAGTCCCTTATGATTTTTTATTTTATTTCCAATGAAACTTGACCATCTGCAGAACCCAAACTCCTCTTGTTTATAACTCACACTGTTTATCTGAAAGATAACTAACAAATCCTGTTCTAGGGTGGGAATATGGAATTACAATTCCTCCAGACAATAAACCGAAGTCCTGGGTTGCTGCAGAGAAAATGTATCATATACACAGACGGCGAAGACTGGTGCGAAAACGCAAAAAGGATCCAAGCCAAGCAACAGGAGTAAAGGTAAAAGGAGCAGATTAGAACTGTAGTTAAGGGTTTCTATTTCTTACACATAATACATGATTTTAGAGGTAAATGTGTTTGAAATGAATCTCACAGATAAGTGAGTGCAGAACAACATTCTGTTTCTACCCACAGAAAAATATTTTAAAACAACTTTATTTGACATGCAGTCAGTTCCCTTTCCTGCTGTAGAATAGTGTCTTTGTCTTTCACTTAGAGTTTATTTTGAAAAGGGTTGATTGTTTTTGTTGTAACTATTGCAGACTTTTTATGACATTTATGTAAGTACAGTGTGGATGGTTTGTATTTCTTCTGATGTCTCCTAGGTAATGGCATCCCATGAAGATCAAGAAGGATGGGAATATGCATCTTTGATTGGCTGGAAGTTTCACTGGAAACCACGCAGTTCTGATACATTCCGCCGTAGACGCTGGAGAAGAAAAATGGCTCCTTCAGACACACATGGTGCAGCAGCTATCTTTAAACTTGAAGGTGCTCTTGTAAGTAGTAAAATCACAGTAGTAATTGTTTAATTAACAGGAAAATAAGTTTTAAAATTAGTGGTGGAACATTAACATGTTATTAAATACAGCAAGCTACTGCATGAGATGCTTTATAACCATTAAATTGTTGTGTGACTGAGGCATTCATAGGCTTCAAGGCCAGAAGGGACCATTATGATCATATTGTCTGACCTCCTGCATAATACGTATATTATTTGACTCCTAGAATTATTTATCTGTTAGCATGTTATGAGACTTGGCAGCAGAAACTGAACCCCAAGGTGACCCACCCGCCTGGAAAAGCAAAGGAGCTGGTCCAACTATAGTAAAGCTGCTCAAGGGTATAAATCAAATGCATAAAGAGTAACTGTGTCAGTAATAGGTATGGACAGGAATTGCCTCTGCTGGATATTTGCATCTAGAGGCAATCAAACAAGTGGGGGGGGGGAGATAGAAAGATATCTATATGGTCACTAAGAGATCATCACAATTTAATTATTCCATAGGTTTATGAAAGGATACATTGTATATGCTAAGGCATTAACTAGGGAATAGTGTAAAGAACATAGTGTGAAAAAGCAATATATTTTACTAGGATATTGGATACAGAAAGGATGGTGGCATCATACTAGGGAAAATGCAGTTTGTGGCAGTGGCTCTACATTTTTTTTTCTTGTTTTGCATCATAAGCAGCAAATAACAGGCATCTAGTTTATAATATCTATTTTCTTTCCTCCACTTCCCTGGGGCCTGAGTCCCATGGAGTTTTGAAAATTTGCTTTTTAGTGTCTGTTCCTTTTAACCTTTATTAACTAATAAATATTGAGCTAGACACAGCTCATAGTTAGGTTCACTCCCTCTGGGGCACCTGGCATTGGCCACTGTCGGTAGACAGGATACTGGGCTAGATGGACCTTTGGTCTGACCCGGTACGGCCTTTCTTATGTTCTTATAGTTGCTGCCAGCTTGTGCCAGTGTAACTGGGGGGATAACGCCCCCAGCAACAGAATAGCTCTCTAAAGGAGGTTGGTGGCCAGGGTAGGGTGCTTGCAGGCAGGCCCATCGAGAGAAATGGGGGGCCCTGGTACATCATGTTCACTGACATCCAGCCCCTCCCATTTCACTTTATTTACACAGACATTATACATTTTGGGGTCCCCCAAGCTCAGGCCCCCAAAACAATTGTTCCCTCTTTCCCTCCTTCTCATCTGCCCTGCTTGCAAGTGGCCAATTTACCCCCCAAATCAGGCAGCATTGGCCAGGAAGTGGATATGACTACCAGACTGATTTCTATAGCGCTCTGACTGCAACTTAAAAATTGTCTTCCCAAAGGAGAGTGGCAGAGCAAACACCTTTGCCTGCAGCCAAGCATGAACTTCTTCTGCTGTACACTAGGCTTCATTTGTTCAGGGAAGTACAATTTGCACCTCTTCTTGCCCCAACAGGAGCGAATGAAGCCCAGTGTGTACATAAGAAGCCATTAACATAAAGATCAGGTTATTTCTGTATATGTAAATATCAGTGGTTTTGTATATGATTTTAGGGAGCAGACACTAGCCTTGATGAAGAAGAGGCGAAAAGCTCAGAAAAAGCCAAGGAGTCTGCCACACGTGTATTTGGTGCCAACACTCCAATTGTTTCCTGCAGTTTTGACAGTAGGTTTTTGCCAGATCCCTGTTTAATGACTCACTTCTGTTGTTATGCGTACCGATCACTGATAATCAGTAGCCAGGTAGTGAACCACATTGTTACCCCATCCTCCTTCCCCCACACCCCACCAGCGTACTTGTCGCATCCACTTGTTGCATCTTGTTACTAACTAAGATTGTAAATTGTTTGGGACAGTGTCTGTATTTTAACTATATGCTCGTACGTCTCCTAGCACAATGATGGTCAGAGCCTTGTCTGGGGCCTAGAGTGGCTACTGGAAGACAAACAATGCATAATACGGCTAATAATGTTCAACTTTGTCTGTTTCCATCATTTGAAGATCTAAATATAAATCCTATCAGGAGAAAAGTTAATAAAAATATTTGAGTGAACAGGACCAAAACCAATAAACTGGATTAAAGAATATGGGTCAAATAATCTCTAGTAGCTCATAATTATATGAAAATTTAGAGATGCTTAATTCCCATGTTGATAGGTGCCTTACAGATACCTAAAGTAGATTGATAGATAGTAATAGAGCAATATAGACAGTTGTGCTATTGACCCTCCATTCACTCTACTCTTTTGGAGCCAAATGCTTGTTTCATTGGCTACCTAATCAAAGCAGCCAACCAGATTTACCCTTGCCAAATCTGAATATAAAACTGAGCTGCATTTCAGCCTCAAACCCTAATCTAAACATAATCCAGATCTAGATCCAAACAGTCCTCTCTCAGCTCATCTCTTCCTGTTTGTACACATGCTCTTATTACAGTCTACTGGTACCCCTGAGTTGTCTCCTCTCCCTTCCTTTTAACCATAGTCAAATAAATCTGGGAGCAGCTTGCTAAATTCTGCTGTAACCAAGCAATGGTGGAAAATGAAGAATTACCTGTCCTGAGCATAACATACACTTTGGGGGGAGGGAGGGGGAGAGGAGGAAGTATCAGAGGAAGGAACTAGAGCTTTGGTTTACAAGCCCTTTAACTGGTTTTCAGAATTCAAATAGGATTTAGCTGAAAATAAAAAGCCAAGCCCAAAAAAAAGTTTTCAGTTCAGACTTTTGTTTCTATTTACCCTCTGATCTTCAGATGTTGAGCTAATAAAACTATTTTATGGAATTTTATTGTTTTAAATAAAATGTCTAATATGCTTAAATAAGCTCCTGCTCCCTTTTGAGTCAATGGCAACACTTGTATTGAATTCATGGGATCAGGCTTTGGCCCAAAGTAAGCCAGTGAACTGTATTGACCAACATTCTGGATTTGGGGCAGACAGAGAGGAATTAAAAAATGTTCAAAAATACATTCGGGGCTAGCTTGCTTTGGGGTGAATCCTGCAGTTTTCAGTGCTACTTCTACCTTCGAAGTCTTGAAGAAAGAACTGCTGGTCCTGACCTCTAATCTCATATAATTGCAGACAGGTGCATGAGAAGTTACATCTGATTATCAGACTCTTTTGAATAGAGTAATTTGTTAGGACTTTTTAAAGTCTCCTGCAGAGTCAGAAGTGAAAAAACTGAATGGCATCTACTTTGTGCTGGGCTGTAGAAGCAGCTCCCATACATTAGCCTGATAGTACCAGTACACTGGTCACAAATAACCAAGTTAATACATGGTGCTAAAATTGCTCGTTCTTTGGTTGAGAAGCCATTGAATGCCTGTTTTATAAATGCAAAATAGCCTAATTAAAAGAATCACACTTGTTTAATTCTAGCCACTACATTTGGACTCTCATTTTGTTTATTTTGTATAGGAGTGTATAGTTACCACCTTCGCTGCTACATCTATCAGGCAAGAAATCTTATTGCTTTAGACAAAGACAGCTTTTCAGGTATGGAAAAATCCTATTCAAGTCAACAAACCCACTCCCTACAATGAATGAATAGCTTATTTCAGCTATAGGATAGCTTGATTCACCTGCTGTAGGCCCCTATGGCAGTAATTACAGCTTTACTGAGTGGGATCCGGAGCTGGCCAGCACATCCCCAAAGTGCACAGTACTGTCCAACAAAGAGGGGTGGCTAGTGCATCCGGGAAATGCACTGATTCAGCAGTACCCCCTTGACAGCTCTCCCAGCATCTCTCCTGTAGGGAGAGAGGTTGTGCAAACATTGCTTATACTTCCCCATGGATGAATCTCTCCTGGGCCCTAGCTTCTCCTTTTTGGCCCAAGACTATGCAGTGTGTAACCCTGCCCCACCCCCCATAGGGTAGCAGCGGTGAATCAAGCTATATCTGCTTGTTGTATCAACAAGTTCTTGCTTTATCTAAAGTTTTATATTACGTTAGCACTAATATTGACTTGTACAGAAATTGCAGATTGTATGTACCTTACTGCTAAGCATGAGTCTTGTTTATTTGTACAAAGGTATTAATTAGTGCTTAATTGTACAGGAACTAAAAATGTTTTACCCTGAATAGGCAATAGTGCCACATGATCTATTGTAAAGATTTATAAACTTTAGTAGTTTATCCATGGTAGCATGATGATCAGACAAATCACTTTTACTCCTGGTATTCATTTGTATGACTTTATCATAGCTCCATCCATAAGGAAAGTCTTAGATATTTCTACCTGGGTGTATCAGTCTGTATCTTTATCATCTAGAGTAAACTAATAGTTAATGAGGTACTCAAGTATTTAATGTTTGTTAGTTGCAATGAAAAATTCCACTGCGTAGACAGAATGGGATACTGTATAAACATGACTTTGAACTTCTAACAGAGTAGGGATAGAATGAATACACTGTGGATGGGGGGGGCTGGGTTTTTCAGGGGTTTTGTTTGTTTTTCCACGTTTCCATCTTCTCTCTTCCTCTTCTTCCCTTTTTATTATTAATTGAACATATCTAGTGCATTCCATAATTTGTTATAGAAACATAGAATGAAGTATATTGTAGCAGTGATGCTGTTTTCTCATATGTTGTCTGAGTTCAATTTCTATGCACATAGCATATGTCACTGTTTTGGACTTATTTGAATATGCAGCACTTAAAAAGAAATACAAAGGATCTACAACAACCCTCCCCCCCCAATTGACATATACCTCAGATGCAGACACACATAAACCTAAACGCCTAAACTTGTAGTTTAACAGCAATAATGTTTGAAGGTTTACATAAAAGTACATAAAACTTGGATTAGTTACTTAGCTAGAGGCCGTTGAAGCTGACCTAAAGATAACCTTTAAAATAGCCTCTGGTGCTTGGTAATGGCAATTTGTACAGGAAATGTTAATATCCATCATCAGATACCTTCTTCAGAGATCCCAATGATTTAGAGGTCTACCTAATAGTAGGCCTAGAACACTTTAATCATTTAGTTCTGTTTCACAAGAGGAAGGGGGCTGCCATAAATAAGCATGTTTGAGGCCAAAGCTTGATCTGTGCAATAGCCTGGTAGAATTTATTGTTCAGCAACTAGTCAGAACTAGAATGATCTCTTTGTATTATTTATGAGTCCATGGAGTTGTACATCAACAGAGGCATCAAGGAGAAGCTTAAATAGAGGATATATATCAGTAATTGTAAGAGGAGTCTAGTATAGCCAAAATTTCATTTTAGTTTTCAGGCTAATTTTCTGATTCATAGGACATTTTAATCGTTACACACATTATTATGGTGTTCAAGATGTGCACAGAGCAAACTCTGCGGTAACCAAACTGAGAATTTAAAAGTTCATCATCAGTTCTGTGTTAACCATTCCATTGTGTGTTATGATGTATTTGTATATCATGAAGGGCTTTGAAGAGGGAACCAGATGGCTCAGGAAACTAGTAACGAAATATGAAGACTATCACCTCCAAGTTGTAGTTTCAAATCCAGGCATGCTTGATCATGAAAAATATTACCAATCTTGTAACAGCCTCAATTCTGCCACTAGATTCACCTGTGTGGACCGCCAGTGACTTGATGGCTCTTGAGTGCTTTGGACAGAAAGGATAGGTTTTAATGCTATGATACAACAAACACAGAGTGAAGAGACTTCTTAAAGGAAAAACTGGGATACCTGTCATCATGGGGAATTCACAGATGAGTTTTGACAGTTATGGTGGGCAAGTACCCAGGGCAATGGGATTGTGTCTGTTTCTTTTCCCCTCAGGGTTAGCTCCGCTAAGCAATCTTTGGTCCCCAAGACCAGATTAGAAATCTCCCCAGGAGATTTCTGGACATTACTTGTTTATAATCAGGCCAACATTTTTTATTGATTGATTGATTGATTTATTGGTGATGGTGTTAAGGCACTTGAACTTCTGATTCAAGCTAGAACAGGAAGTACACAGGCACGTGAAAGTGAAGGGAAAATGGTAAACTTTTCAAGCCTCAAGAAAGTTTCAATGGAGGAATAAGTGAAGGTTCAGGTCAGATTAGTTTTCATAGCTCACATGCAGAGGTTCATACATAACACCCTTCCACTCCAGAGGGTTACATATTCATTACAGTGCGTGGAGAGTTATGGATCCAGGTATTTCTACCCCACTTTCACTTTCACTGTGGTGTCTATGAATATTACATTTTAGAGTTACATGCACTGCTTTTAATACTAGCAGGATAAGATTTTTCTAATCAATACAGTGGAATGTTATACTTTGTAATAGGGTTGCTTGCTGCCTGCTATCACCATCCATAGGTGTTTGTTATAGACTGAGGTAAAGAGACTTGAACTGGGAGGAGACAAAGAGGGAAGGAAAATAATGTGGGCCAGATCTTCATCTGGTGTACATGGGCCAATTTCCATCATCTGAGGATCTGGCCATGCTTGGTTTTTTTAAATTATATTTTCTAAATCTTTGTATGGTCTTTCAGATCCATATGCTCATGTTTCATTCCTCCATCAAAGCAAAACAACAGAGATCATCCATGCAACTCTGAATCCTATGTGGGACCAAACGCTTATATTTAATGAAATTGAAATCTATGGAGACCCACAGACAGTAGTACAAAATCCACCTAATGTGGTTATTGAACTTTTTGACAATGACCAAGTGGTATGTGAATTTTTTTGTCTTGATTCCCCTTTGGTTGTTTACTTGGAGAGAGCAGATTAATTAAAGTTTATGATTTCTGATTGGCCAATTTGTCCAGGGCAAAGATGAGTTTCTAGGAAGAAGTGTTTGCTCTCCTATGGTAAAGCTAAACCCAGGAGTGGATATCACACCTAAGCTTCTCTGGTATCCTGTAATGAATGGAGGAAAAGCTTGTGGGAGCATCCTTTTAGCTGCAGAGCTTATTCTGAGGGACAAGGTAATTTAAAAATATATATATTCTTCCAAACTGTATGGTATATTGAAACAGTTACCATTGTGAATGTTTTACTATATACAGTGCACTCTGTTTAAGAAAAAGGAGAGAAACTTGTGCTTCTGTGCTTATCTTCATAGGATGGCTCCAACCTTCCAATTCTTCCATCACAAAGAGCACCAAAGCTTTACATGGTACCTCAAGGAATTAGACCTGTTGTTCAGCTCACTGCTATTGAGGTAGTGTATGCTGCTCAAATTAACTGAATATAATGAGAGGAATCTCATCTTGAAGGTAGAAAATGTCTTTATATATTTGCTTCCATAAATAATGTGGTAATAAAATAAATACAGATGGCTTATTTTCCAGCATAGTGTCATTAACATTTTTTAGTAAAACACCTCTCTCTCTCTCTCTCTCTCTCTCTCTCTCTCTCTCTCTCTCTCTGTATATTTCAGCCATACCTTATAATCGGAAAGACATTGTTTTCCCCTTCCAGTTATTATTTCAGTATCATTTTTAGCACACTGGTTTCCCTTAGTAATGCCTATACTGGATTTTATTTACAGATTCTTGCCTGGGGATTACGAAACATGAAAAACTACCAAATGGCTTCTGTTACTTCTCCAAGTCTCATTGTAGAGTGCGGTGGTGAAATGGTGGAGTCAGTAGTGATCAAAAACCTCAAAAAGACACCAAATTTTCCATATTCTGTACTCTTCATGAAAGTGGTATGATGTTAAAATTACAGTGCAAAGATCTTCAGTAGTGTTAAATGTTCTAAACTCTAGGTTTCATTTTTAGTAGAAAAATCAATAGAAGGAATAAGCAATTCTTCTTTGACTTAATGTAAGACATTCATCTTTGAGTCTGAAAATTCTCATAATGGTAATTAAACATTTCTTCCCAAATGCTACTAATCAATATGACTATGTTGATGATCTGTCTAGGTACGGTCCTCATCACTGTAATATCTGAGGCTCAGGAAATCTTACTTTGAGGCAATACATGTATTTTTAAAAGGTTATTATACTGACATTTAATTAGTACAGCATGGAGCTGCATGATGTATGCAAATATACATGCGCAAATCATGAGAGTTTAGTATTAAATTACTGAGACTGTGGCCCAATCCTGCAGTCTTTACTCAGGCAAAAACTCTTTATTCTCCTTATCTACCATGGTTCTAAACACAAGCAACTAAACTCTATTTTTAACTTCTAGCTTTTGCCCAAAGAGGAGGTATACGCTCCATCACTAGTCATTAAAGTGATAGACCACAGACAGTTCGGACGGAAACCAGTTGTGGGACAGTGTACCATTGATTCCCTAGAAGACTTTCGCTGTGACCCCTACGCTACTAGGGAAGACATTGCACCACAACTAAAAGGTAGGCAGCTAGAAGCTGACAACAATTCTCCTCCTTTTTTGAGGAAGATTGGAGTAATCCACCTTGAACGTTCACTATATATATGGAATAGATTTATAGCCACCTAGTGTTGTTTATTAAATTAGTGACAGTGTGGTTTGAGTGAAAAATCAAACTCACAGTATTAATCACCAATGTGGTAATCTATAGAGCCTCAGAAGAGAGATGACAACCTACAGGGCAATGTCTGTATTTTTACAACAAACAGTGTCAGCCCACTGGATCAGCTGGTACCTCCAAAAGGCTTCTGTAGCATATGCATGCAATATAACTACCTTTAAATGACTGTTGTAATTGGTAGTACGGATGTAGAGAACGACACTCAAGGAGAAAGATAAAAGACTGAAAGCAAAGAGGGAGTTATTATGAAGATGGCATTATATTTTATGGGTAAATTTATTCAGAAAGCCATTGTTTATTTAATCCTCCCATCTTTTACTTAGTTTATGTTCAGTGCTCCTTAGAAAGCCATCATCATTATTCCAGAGAATGGATGGAAATACCACAGTAGCTTTTTAAAAAAAGGAAGTAGCATGGAAACATAGGACCTAATCTGCTCCATGCATTTGGACCACATAAGCACCCACATGGATCAACTTGAAGATCAGGCTCCTAATGGACCACATCAGTTCACTATACTGTACTGTCATATTATGCATATAGGCACCATTTTTTTTTTCAATTGCAATGGGAAGATTTTGAAAACCATAAATGGCAGGTAAGAGTCTAACATTCACTGACTTTCAATAGGCATTAGGTGCCGACCTGCCATTTGCAGCTTTGAAAATGTCCCATTATTGCTTTTTCTTCAAACTCCATTGCTTTTGATATGTGTTTGTGTGTGTGAGAGAAAAGTATGTATGTAACATAGCTAATTCTTGCTAATTTCTTTAAAGAGCTAATCCTGAGTAGCAGTTAACAAAACACTGCAAATAACTGCTTGCTTTAAAAAGTCAAACCCACACCAAATAAATTCTTTTACATCTTCTATAACATTTGAATTTAAATTCTGATAGCAAAATTGACTGGCATATTTCACCTTAAGAAAATATTTCATTTACAGTTAGCCTCCTGTCTGCTGTGCCTCGTCGGGATGTGGTCATTGAAATGGAAGACACAAAGCCACTACTAGCAGCTCAGGTAATCTTTGCAATTTGATGCTTGACTTTCATATTTTGGACACATGATTTACTAACAACTACTTAGCATACAATTTTGGATTTCTGTAAGCTTTTCTGCCCAAGTCACAGAAGCAACTGCAAAATTGGTGGAGCATTTTGGAGTGTCATTTAAAATAAATTTGTATCGTGGCAGGGTAGCAAAGGAAGTATCTTAATTATTATTACTCTTTTTCTTATGGTTAACATTGAAATGATGTATTTCATGCAAAGTAGAGTTGAATAAATAATTAATAATAATGTATTCTCAATCAATTTATTCTATCTGTTCATGAATTGACTGTGAGCAGTTTATAACTTTTCAAATTATTTCCTATTCTGAATTATTCACTAAATACTTTTGGTGAATAATTTTTGGTCTTCAGATCATTCATGAGCAGTTTGTTGCAGGTGTTCAGATATGAAATTCTAGAAGTGTTGATTGGTTTATTGAACTCACAGGTCATATGGCAGATTTCTGTTTCCTGATTGGATGAGTTACACTTAAAATCAGGTTTCTATTGTGAATATTTGCATTTACAAGTTCTAAACCTGTGCGCTGTGAATATTATTGAATATTTGCTTACAATTCAAAATATTTTTGTGACTACTCCTGCCCGTAAACTCATTTTCTAGATTGTTCGTAGAAAGCATCCACAAAAGCCAAAGTGAATTCAACAACAGACACAACTGGTGTTGAATTCAAGTTTTTGAGCAAGCACTTGCTGAACATTTTTGAGCTATTCACCCAGATTTAATGCTTAACACACTAAATCTTAAACAACTGCTTCTGTGCTTAATTATCTTTTTTCTTTTGTCATTGGGGCTTGCAGTTATGATGTGCATTATATTTTTTTAATGCTTCTTTTCTTGCTTTACTGAGGATCCCTCTCTATGCAATCCCCTTTTGTCTTTCATGTAGCGTAGCTGCTCTGTAATTATGCTATATAAACAGTGCCAGTGAAAGCAGCAGATGTTTATCACAGGCATACCAGGAGTGCTGCCAGACTATAGATATATCAATATGTTCTAGCAGCTAACAGTATACATTCAGTCCATTGTCCAACCTTTCCATTCAGCTAGAAGTAGTGTGAGGCTTAGTCCAGTCACTTACACAGTCACCTCTGGAAAGCATTTGCAGTTTGCATATGGCTGACCAGGTACATCAAAATACCAAAATATCGAGTCTTCTGTGTTGTTTCTGTTTTAAAATATTTTACCTAATTTAGCTTGAAGGTTGCACTATGGATGCGAGAAACAGAAAGAGAGGAGTCGAAGATGTCCCCAGGTTATTTTGTGAGCAACAGAGAGAATTATGGTGTTATCAGCAGTAAGAGAAAAAGCAGGAAAAGGAGAGGGTTTGGAGGAAGAAATAAGTGACAATTTTTAATTTTAGCCACACTAAGCTTAAAGTTTTTGGTGAGACATCCAGGAGATGCCAGATGTGTGGATGCAAGACAAAACAAGGAGCAGGGAGAGGCATGCAAAATATAGTACCAATTAACAATTGTAATGCTTTCCAAACATTTTAAAAATAAGTACAATAAACAAAATGCAGGAGGAATTTCTTCTCTGGTCAGCTAAGGTCTTTATGCAGTGCAAAAGGACTTTGAACCAGCCAGAGATAGCCAATGAAACATTCCCCTTAAACAAGGGAACTCTCTGCCTCCTTCCGCACCAACTGCCACTCCCCTCCACCTTCACCTTGCGCATTGGGGGAAGGAAGGGAGTGCAGTGTGGTGGTAGTGGTAGTGGGGTGATTTGAGGGGGCATGGTAAAGAATTGCCCAATCCTCCACTGGTGTAAATTTGAGTTGCCACTGGGGTTTGACACCCATGAATCAGGGAGCCCCAGCTGGCTCTCTTCTTCCCCTTTGGAAGGAGTAGAGAATCAAGACCATGGTATAAAGGATTTATTGACGCCGTTTGGAATGGCAGGTGTATCTCAGTCATAGTTTTGCCACCCCCTTAGTATTAAGGCCATCCCAAATTCATATCAAGTGAAACGTTTCTGCTGCCCAGGGCATCATGTATATTTCTTTCTGTTCTGTCCTGTGGATCTCTTCAAAGTTCTGATTCTTTCAGCAATCCCATTATAAAACCTTATTTTACAGGTATTTATAATTCAATTACAAAAGTTTGGTCTTTGTTAAAACCTGGGGTCAAATCCCACTGATTTTATGTTTGCAAAAATTTGTCCCATAGCTTGCAGGTTTTTTCAAAAATTACTGATTGTAGATGCTTTTAATTAACAAATTTCTTTAAAAAACAAACAAACCAACCAAACAATATTTTTAAAGGGTATTGTTTTTTTTTTAAGTTGTACAGGCTCTTCGTCCAGAATTTTGATAGCAGTTTTTTTTTCTTAAAAAAATAAAAGCAGAATGATAAAATTTGTATTTGGAAACCAGATGTTTCAAACATGCAGGAACTTTTTCTCTTTGTGTTTTTTCTTATGCACATCCATATTAAATTTTAAGCATAAGTCAACAGCTTTGGGATTTAATTTGTTTTTGTTGGTTTGTGTGACTCCATCTTTTCCTTTATACAAGTAAAGGTTTTTTAATGTTACAGAGGTCAGTGAAAACACTCCAGAACTTTGGAAAAGTTCAAACTCAGATCCAAATTTTGTGGCTTGGCCCCTATTTCTAACGTGTTCATTGAATGTACTGTACACATTCTTTTTTCCACTACTCATTCAGGATCTTAATGTCAGAAAGAGTGGACTCATTTAGAGACCTCATAATAATGCATTTCCCTATATTCTATTTTCTCCCACACAGGGACCTGCTGTTTAACAAAATAGTAGAAACAAAACCGGCCAGCTGATCTAATTATGTTAATGCTTTTCAAGTTCCCAATCCATATTGAGATTTTTTTATGCCAGTTAATAATTATATACAAAATAGATGCCTAGGATAAAAGTCCTCGTCCCAGTGAAGTCAATGGCAAAACTCTCATTGACTTCAATGGGGCCAGGATTTCACCCATAGAAGGGAAAACTTATAAATACTATACAGTGTGCTCGACAACTTTTTTTAGAGTTGGACATCAATTTAGTAAATGTAATATTGCATTGCATACACTAATAGCATCCATATGATTAAAGGACTCTTTAGAAGAATTAAAAGTATATTTTTGGAAAGCATATGTGATGTACAGATAACACACTAAGGGCCCAGTTGCAGAAATTTCATCAATTACATTCCAATTTCCAGTGCTTAAGCAGTATGTCAACAGCACTCAGCAAAATGGCTTCTCCAACAACAGTGCATGTATGTATGAAGCTAATGCATGAAGATAACCAAGTGGGGATTTAGGTGCCCTGGTCATGTGGCTTTCACTTCTCTTTTGATAATTCTTCTGTAGAGAGATTTTGGAGTGAAGGATGCTTTTATATCAAGTATAGTAGTATATTTACAATTACTAGGGAGTTCTTCCAGTTCCTTTACATGTCATATATCTACAGTTCAGAATTAATGATTGGTTCAGCCCTACTACCAATATTTGGATTTTGTTTAAAATTAGATTTTCCAGGGGAAAACATACCGATTGATCAACAGTAAATAAAAACATAATTCTGTTGCCTTGCTAAGACTCAACTGTGGCTGATAGTACAGGGTCTCCATAAATTGGAGCAGATAAATAAATAGCAGTTCAATATTTGTTATGAAAGAACATTTATAATAATACATAATGAGGTCCTTGGATAGCTAAAGAAATTGGTAAATTCTTTTATCTGGTCTTTGCCATGTGAATATTTTCTCTCCAAAATCTCAATTTATCTATAATGATTTAAGCCTAAATCACTGGCATTTTATGAATGAACATTGCTTATTAATTTTAACAGCATCCAAAATATAGATCATATTTACAGTTTGTGGTGGGGATTTGTGGGATTTAGATTTTAAACATTTTTCAAAGCTATTAAAAATATTGTTTGAAAAGACATTTGACGGTATATCAGGAAAAAAAATTAGTCTTAAACCAGTCAGCACCTTGAACATTACGTTCTGATGAAAGATTCAGAGACCATAAATAATTATGTTTTGTGGTAAATCCCCTTAATTCAGAGTTAAGAATGAAGCTTGTTGCACAGCAAGGCAAACAACATTGTTTTCATGAAAAACTGTCATTCATCTATCTTCAACATTGTGAACTAGTGAAAAAAATGTAGATTAAAAAATGCAAGGTCTTTAAATTTATTACATACCTGTAGGTGAACACATAGGTAATCAGAGTTTCTGAGGGCAAACTGCTCGTTTAGAAATTGTCATAAATCCTCATACAGTATGAAATTATTTGTTACCATGGGATACTTCTGATTTTATCTGAAAGTTAGCCATGATGACTGAAATACAGTACATTTTAATATCCAAACAGGACAATTACCTTCATTATAGAAATGAGGAATTTTGAGTAGTATATTTGGTTTGTATACTCATATGCTATTTTCTGGATTTCTTTTGGTTTACACAACAATCTAATTATTATACCTCTAAATTAGAACACAATGGGTGCTATAAACACAGAAAATCACTAGCGGTAATCATTGCTTCCAAATAAGTGTGGTACAATATTTGCTCTTCATGGAAGATCCTTATTCATAATGTAAATTATATAATTAATTTTGCAATTGTGAAAGTTGTTGTGAGTATTTATAATTCTTCATATTTTTTCAGACTGTAGAATGACCACAATTTTTAAAGCTGCAAATTGGCAATAAAAAGACAAACAAAAAAAGACATGTAAGCATTAGCAACTATTTTATAAGTATGTAAGGAGTAAAATATGAGAGTCTTCAAAAAGAGCAAAACAATCCAAATTACTGTGTGTGTGTGTGTGTGTGTGTGTGTGTGTGTGTGAGAGAGAGAGAGAGAGAGAGAGTGAAGATCCTTTGGAACAAAATCTCTGTGGAATTAAAAATTATTACGTTTGATTTAGAGATAGACCTGGACCCACTTGTAAGTGAACCAACCAAGCAAAGTATGGGCCAGTTCTCACACTCCTCCTTGCACACCCAAAACAAATCCGTGAAAGCTGTGGGTGTGAGAGGAATGCTGCGTTGGGTCCCACGAGAGTATAAATACACTCTCACACATTTTCTCTGTTTACTTTTTAAAACATTGTTACAAGAACCAAAACATAAATTCCCCAATCCTGACAACTTTCAACATTTCATCGGGTATGTAATAAATACTATAGTTCAACAAATAAAGCAACAAATCATCTCTGAATAATTCCTAAGTAAGTAAAACATTTTGTGAAATATAAAACTTATATATGAAAACGAAGTTTTCCTTCTTTATCACCTGCCCCCAATGTAAAACATTATAAACTCTGTTTTTTATTTACCCTCTTTTTTTGTTTTGCTCTTTTTTCTGAATGGATCCTTATGAGCAGCTTACAGAAAAGGTAATTACAATGTTCCTTATTTATAATAGCATAGTGCTTTCTTGTAAGTCAAAGCTCCAGGTAGAAATCGGTAAGTTAACTTTGTATTCTGGTTTTGGTACTTTTAGGGGGTGGAGGAGGGATTTGTAACTTTTGAAAAACATCAAAATAAAATGTTGCCTGCACTTTTTGACCAGAATGGAAAATTTAAGAAAATTATGCAAAATGGAAATGTGAGCCTCCACTTAATCCAAAAGTTATTCAAAATAACAGATTTATTGATCTGAGTATCACTAATCACCTCTATAAATGCCACAATCCTTTAATATTTTTCATAGTTATTACCTGAATTTTTTCTCTAGAATGATTACTTTCTACAAATAACAGGTGACTTTACCTGTCTAATTCCTCTAGAGTTAGATACACAACATATCTATGATAAGATGCTGACAAAAGAATTGAAAGAAACTGTTAAAATTATTTCCTTGCTCACTATAATGGTGCAGCACTAGGACAATATATATATTTTTTGCACACCGTTGTGAAGTATAAGGGGAAAGAAAAGTGAGGTAATAGTTTCCAGAATTCATTGATGGTTTCCCTACTCCTTCCTAATGGACATATCCTGTAGACTTTACTCTGACAAAACTCCCCTTGAAGTCAATGGGCCAGATCCTCAGCAAGTATAAAGGCAGCATAGCTCCATTGACTTTAGTGGAGTGACACCAATTTACACCAGCTGAAGATCTGGACCAATATAATTCTAACTGTATCAGTATTACTGAAATCAATGGGAGTTTTACCTGTCTCAGGACTGATGTATTTAACCCCCATATGAAAGAATTTTATGACCTGTTTACTCTAGGTATTATGAATAAATTAAATGTATGCATTTTGACGGAGACAGTCACCACGGTATCTAGAATTCATTGCAATAGCCAAAATGCATAGATTGCTGTGGCTAGGTGCATATTCAAGTAGAAAGGCCAGACAAAGTAGTACGTGCTGCTGTAGGCAGGATGCTAGACAAGACAGACCATTGGTCAGATCCGGTATTGTAATTCCTATGCGTTAAGTAAGACAGTTTAGCCCTAACTTTAAATTTCATTGCTCTCTTTTTGATTCAGACCTTTATTTGTTTATTATTTATTATACCTTTGAATAATAGTTTTTGTTATACTTTTAATTAGTCATTGCATCTGTTTTATAGATGATAGAAAGAGGCTGGAGTGCATGCTATAAAGTTCATTCTTGTCTACCACTAAAAGGGATTTTTCTTTTTTTAAGGAAGAAGAAATTGTTGATTGGTGGAGCAAATTTTACGCTTCAATAGGAGACCATGAAAAATGTGGACAATATATTCAAAAAGGATATGACACTTTAAAGGTATTATATAAAAAAATTAAAGGGACATTTTGGTAGGTCAAAATGTTCTCTCTTTTTGACATACAATTATATTTATCTGATTGTTAGTCTCCAAAACAAATGATTAAGTCTTGTCTTTTCATATTGCCATAACTGTAAGCAATCCAACCTCATCATAAGTTTCATCTGACTTCTCTCCAAAGTATCATATTGTGCATAACAGAACTTGAACAGTGAAACTGGTGTTTTGACAGCCCTAAATGGATTGGAGTCAGTTTCCATTTTCACCTGGTAAAAAAAAAAAAAAAAAAAAGACATATAGATGTCTGTTTACCTGATATGTAGGTTCATAAATAGTTAAATATCTCAATACCAGATGCAACCACAAATAAATGCAGGCACATAACTGCCTGTAATTATTTTGGGCATGCAAACAGGGAAGCCAAGATAAAGATAAGACCCTTAATATTCTTCTGATTTTAATATTAGTAAGGAAAGTTACGACTCTTCCCACATCAGATTTGTCACTATTTATGCCAAAGGGCATGTGGGGAGGAGAGGGGGAAGGGAGTGAAAGGAGTTCCAGAAAGGTCTTGCAGTTTTTTCCTCTATTGACTAGACACAGATATTAAGGGCTTGATCCTGCACCACTGATCTCAATAGGAGTTTTACCATTGATTTCTCTGGAGAAAAGCTCAGAAGCACATTGATGGAGTCTGCAGTTCTGTATATTTAATTAATATTTTTCTTTGTGCATTGGTGTAAATTGGAGCCAGAAATATCCTAAGACCACTCCCACTTTTTCATGTATACACCTATGGGGGCATAAGTGAGGTTGAGGTTGGGGAATGCAGTTGATTTGGGTTTTGATTAAGACACAAGTGGGGATTGACAGCACCAGAAACAACTCACATTTTCCAAATAGATTCTGTTCTTCTCCCCCTGTAAAGAGGTAAGAGTGCAATAATACTGAATGGTTTTGTGCCCTAACATCTCCTAAGTGGAGTACAGCTTTGCTACACCAAAATGACACTAGCTTTTTAATGGACTTGGTGTGTGTGTTAAATTTTTAAATGTCACTTCAATTTTACTTTAGGTGTATGATTGTGAACTGGAGGAGGTACCTGAATTTAAGCGCTTGACAGACTTCTCTGATACATTTAAGCTGTACAGAGGCAAATCAGAGGACAATGATGACCCTTCAGTGGTAGGCGAATTTAAGGTAAAAAAAAAAAAAAGTATCCTATTGTTGCACCAGAAATGAAAAAGTAACCAAAGGCTGGAGGAAGCCCTTTGAATGTATCACTTGCACATACATTGAGACTACTCCTGTGCCAGACACATTCTGTTTGACTCTGAGAGGTGCATTGCACCCTCCACTCCTACTCAAACTCTGATTCAGCAAACCACTTAAGCATGTGCTGGAATACATTCCTATTCAGCAAAACATTTTGAGTTTAATGAAGTCCCATTGACTTCCTTAGGACGTAACCATGTGTATAAGTGCCTTGCTAAATAGTGATATTTGCCTGAGTGGAAAATGCAGGTGCTCAGAGCCTCTCAGGATCAGGCCCTTTCTTTTCAGTGGCACAGTGGGGGAACAACATAGCATTTATCTCCCTCCTCCAGAGATACTTGTGTGTTCATTCAGAGGACCAATGCTGCACAGGCATATGTTGAGAAGCATGTTATTTTTCAATGGTTACTGCTACAGGAAGCTGTCTTAGTACTGTGGTTTTGAAATAATGGGTTTAAAATAAAAAGATCAGCTAACCCCTCCCCCTGCCAAAAATCCATTCTGCTGTATCTGTTGAAAATACATTTTACATTATTATATAGTTAAAGGAAATAACAGGCCAGATTGTCAACTAGAGTGAATAAGTTTAGCTCAATTGGAGTTCAATGGAGGAAGGCCATTTCACATCAGCTGAGAACATGGTACGCAGTCTCTATTTTAATATAATGAAGGCATATAAAGTGAAATCCTGGCCCCCACTGAAGTTGATAGCAAAACTTCCATTGACTTTCAGAGGGGCCAGCATTTTACCCATAATGTTTCTCAGTCAGGTGTACTTATGGAATCGAATCTAAGACAGCTTATGTACTCCATTCTGCACTCTTTTTGTGGCTTTGTTCACAAATTTTACAGGTAAAAATTAGGGCTGTCAAGCAATTAATCGCACTGTTAAACAATAATAGAATACCATTTATTTAAATATTTTTGGATGTTTTCTACATTTTCAAATATATTGATTTCAATTACAACACAGAATACAAAGTGTACAGTGCTCACTTTATATTTATTTTTGATTACAAGTATTTGCACTGTAAAAAAACAAAAGAAATAGTATTTTTCAGTTCACCTAATACAAGTACCGTAGTGCAATCTCTTTATCATGAAAGTTGAACTTACAAATGTAGAATTATGTACAGAAAATAACTACATTTAAAAATAAAACAATGTAAAATTTTAGAGCCTGGAAGTCCACTTAGTCCTACTTCTTATTCAGCCAATTGCTAAGACAAACAAGTTTGTTTACATTTGCAGGAGATAATGCTGCCCACTTCTTGTTTACAATGTCACCTGAAAGTGAGAACAGGTATTCACATGGCACTGTTATATCCGGCATCGCAAGATATTTATGTGCCAGATGCGCTAAAGATTCATGTCCCTTTATACTTCAACCACCATTCTATTGGAGATGCGTCCATGCTGATGATGGGTTCTGCTCAATAACAATCTAAAGCAGTGCGGACCGATGCATGTTCATTTTCATCATCTGAGTCAGATCCCACCAGCAGAAAGTTGATTTTCTTTTTTGGTGGTTTGGGTTCTGTAGTTTTTGTATCAGAGTATTGCTCTTTTAAGACTTCTGAAAGCATGCTCCACACCCTGACCCTCTCAGATTTTGGGCTGGTTAGAAATCTCACATTGATTCCTTCTTTGCATTTTCTGAAATCTACAGCAAAAGTGTTCTTAAAATGAACAACATATACTGGGTCATCATCCGAGACTGCTATAACAGGAAATATATGGCAGAATGTGGGTAAAACAGAGCAGGGGACATACAATTCTTCCCCAAGGAGTTCAGTCACAAATTTAATTGATGCATTTTTTTTAACGAGCGTCATCAGCATGAAAGCATGTCCTCTGGAATGATGGCAGAAGCATGAAGGGCCATACGATTGTTTAGCATATCTGGCACGTAAATACCTTGCAATGCCAGCTACAAAAGTGCCATGCAAATGCCTGTTTTCACTTTCTGGTGACATTGTAAATAAGAAGAGGGCAGCATTTTCTAATTTGTTTGTCTTAGCGATTGGCTGAACAAGAAGTAGAACTGAGTGGACTTGTAGGCTCTGAAGTTTTACATTGTTTTGTTTTTGAGTGCAGTTATGTAACAAAAAAAATCTAAATTTGTAAGTTGTACTTTCATGACAAAGATTGCACTACAGTACTTGTATGAGGTGAATTAAAAATACTATTTCTTTTGTTTATCATTTTTACAGTGAAAATGTTTGTAATAAAAAATAATATACACTGATTTCAATTACAACACAGAATACAATATATATGAAAATATAGAAAAACATCCAAAATATTTAATAAATTTCAATTGGTATTCTATTGTTTAACAGTGCAATTAAAACTGCGATTAATC